TGGGATAGGGAGAGATGTAGAAAGAGAGAGATGAATAGAGACAAAGAAACAGAGCAACAACAATAACATTAACAATGAAAGGGAGGAAGAGAGGCTGTCATATGAAAACTGTCAATTCAATCTAGTTCATGACAATAGAGAATATTATAATTTCAGGAATGTAAGAAAAGTCAGTAAAGATGAGTTTTTAAAAAGAGAAATAAAACAGGTTGAATCAGAATGACTGCTCAGATAAATTCAACATTTTAAGGAGTTTTTGCCCCAGCAAACCTCATTTTCTCTCGCTGGTTAATCCACAGCTTCTAGTCCAGTGTGTTTCTAGTTCTACAGATTAAAAGATCCTCTGCCAAACTGCCAAACTATTTACATGCATGATGGTTCAAGAGGTCAAACATATATCAAGGTGCAAAATGAATTGTAGAATAGCAAGGACACAGGCTATTGGGCTTGGATGTGATCAAAAATGTGTCAAGATCAACACTAAAATGTTTTTAAACTGTGGAAATCAACTCTATTCAGGCATTACTGAGGTGTTCAGCAGAATGGGATCAACAGGTGGACAGAAAACCCTAAAAAAGACATAATTCATGGTCAGTTACTTCAGGGTTTCTGGGCGCCATGACATGACACATTTGGCTCGTCCATCACAACCTCAGCCAGCCTCTGATATTGGTAAAACCACACCTCCATAATACTAGAGACTCAGCAAAAGCTTCACATTATGCTCGACAATATCTTCCTCTGATGCTTTTAATACCATTCATTTTTTAAATGATACAATATTCTTATTTGAACGATTGATAGTATTGAATGTACTGAAAGATTTTAAAAAACTATTTTTCATGAGAAAAGTGTGTAAGAGAAGAACGAGTCCATCAATAATTATTGCAACCAACCAACTGCAACAAGAGATGCTCATTATATGACAATGCTTTTTGTTCAACCATACTGTAAAAATACTGTCTTCTTCCCATACCAAATCATTGTGCTTTCTTTATATAATACTTCTCTGGAGAAATCACAGGTCATGACATTTCTAAAGCTGCCTGAAATTAAAAAGAACAAAACACCATAGCATAATAAATTAACTCAATAATCATGTAGGCCAGCTACAAAGAAAAAAAAAGAAAATAATCAATATTAAATTAAAACCTTACAACAATCAGTCATACTTCTAAATTTCACCTAGTAAGATTTTCTCTTAGTCAATCTTTCTCTCAACTTGACTCTGTTTATCTCACCATGTTTGCACAACAAAAATAACAAAAGTATCTTGAAAATGTTGAGCTGATTGGATGTCATTTGAAACTGTCACTAACAACATTGTTCAGCTAGAGATTGCTGACCTATTATTTAAACTCGTGGACGGAAGTCGGCATTTTAAACCGAAGGTGATGGCTGCAAGAGAGAAGTTTATTCAGACATTAACATGCTCTATTCGATCTGCAGAGTCCCTCTGCACCTTTAAGAAAAAGCTAAAGACCCAGCTCTTTCATTAATACCTACTAACTTAATGATGATGGTCTCCATATTATTGATGATGATGATGGTAATGACGATGGTTTTTGTTTGATAACGATGACTTATAAGATGGTTTCTATACTGATTAGAGCTCTCAAGAACTGCCGTCAATGTTGTGCTTTGCCTCTGGTCACTTCCTGTCAGCACCTGTGTGTCCAATCAGACTCAAAGCTGATCGTTTGCTCTTACTGACATTGTTCCCTTTTTTCTAGATCCTTGGTTGTGTTGTTCTTACTCTCTGATGTACGTCGCTTTGGAGAAAAGCGTCTGCTAAGTGAATTGGAGAATTGTAGAACATGCTGTTTACTGTAGCTCTGACAATCTCATACAGAAAAATAATAATAATGTCAGCTATCATCAGCTTACGTTAAGTAAGTTTCTCATCAGTATTAACTCTAACAAAACAACACGTCCTGCTTCATTTCATGTCCAATAACTAATGTTAGCTGACACATTATACAACAAGACAAAGTTCTAAAAGAATTCTACACTTCTTACTCAGTCCACCATCAACACATGGACTACAATGAACAAAGACTGAAACCTACCTGAAAATAACCAACATGCCTGTCTGTCTGCACACGTGGCTCTAAGAGGCAATGAGAGCTGACACTCTGATTGGTCTTATTTATGTAACGCCAAAACACATTTCAACCTCTTTATGCTCTGCGTCATAGGTTGTGCGCCGGGTAATAGCAAAATGTATTCTGACATGTCCTAAATCACTTTGCACAACCCACCTTTGACAACGCACTTCTTTTTGTTTTTGCACTCAGGCCAATCTCCTACATTGCACCTTTTGTACATTTTGTGTTTTTTATCTTTATTTTTTACATTTTTAAATTCTATTTTATATATTGTAATAGCTTCTTGTACTGTATTATTTAAGTTGTTGCTAGTTCTGCTTTATTTCCTTGTTAATTGTTTAGCACCAATACACCAAGACAAATTCCTTGTATGTGTAAATGTACTTGGCAATAAACCCCGATTCTGATTCTGATTCTGATTCTGATTCTGATTCTGATTAAGAGCCCCTTTCTCTGTAGGGGCCCTGGGTAGTGAGTCCCACTTTTCCCCCAACTAAGATGCCCATGAGCGTGACAATGAAAGAGATCAAATCAGACTCAGATCCTAATAATGATGTAAGGAGAACTCTTGCATTAAATGAAGGACCACAAATCTCTCCTCACTGGCTGCCTAAATGTTGAACTGATGAATCATTGCAGGGCTCCGATCACTGGGTTGTGAATGGACTCCAAGAACAAAACCACATTGATCAGAAGCACTCTTCTGTGTACAGTTAAACAGACAACCAATGAAATAGAGACATCTGTCAGGTCTCACAGCGTCCGTGAACAGAGGCAGGGGCCAAGTGAACATAAGGCGCACACCCATTTATTGAAGCTTCATGCATAATAAAACTGGTTAAACAGGTAGGTAAATTTATACAAGTAAGTGACTTTGGTATTGCTTTAGCACAACAGTAAATCTCAGGTGATCGAGGAAAACATTTCTCAAAATGTAACATAAAGCTTGGAGCACATTCATGATGCCCATGCAGTGGATGAATTTCTTTTAATTGTCCCTGACTGTGTGTGTGTGTGTGTGTGTGTGTGTGTGTGTGTGTGTGTGTGTGTGTGTGTGTGTGTGTGTGTGTGTGTGTGTGTGTGTGTGTGTGTGTGTGTGTGTGTAGAGGGTGGGGGGTGGGATGCGAGGGACGAGATTTGATGTGAATGAATGGGACATGTTTCTATATTTATTTAATTATATATATATATATATATATATATATATATATTGTTTTATTTCATGTGTTTTCTCTGTTGTGTCTTGTGATATAAAGGTAAATATCTCATGTGATCCTGATTTCACTCTTGAAAAGTGTAACTAAGTTAAATGTTGTGGTATTATTTTGGTTGATAAAAACTTGTAAGTGTGACTGATGGAAAGCATGAAAGCAATAAAAATAATTATAAAAAAGATTAATAAAAAAATTGCATCAAAACACAATAATAAATGCAGCCTTGCAATATTTTTATGATGTCCTTAGTTAATTTTCCAAAAAATAATTGTGATGATTAACATCCAAAATGCATTGTCCTAACATGTAAACAAAGCAGAACACATTGATTTGATTCCAATAACCAGAAATTAGCTTCTCCACTGGGTCCCTTTAAAATCTGAAAGAGAATTCAAAATCTATCTTCTCATTTACAAAGCTCTTTAGGTTAGGCACCATCATATCAAAGAACTCATAGTGCCCCTATAGAACAGTATGCTCCCAGAATAAAGACCAGCTTTATATTCTCTAAATGTGCTATGGAAGGTAGAGCCCTCTCTCCTCTGGAATCATCTACGAGTCAGTGTAGTGTCAGTCAGACACCCATACCTTCTTATGAGAGCAGACTTCAAACTTCCCTTTTTGATAAAGCTTTGTTAGGACTGCAGCTCATTTTTACCAAATGCAATTAATATGTTAAACAACAATTAGCTATTTGTTGCTCTTTTTGCACTTGAATTGCACATTTGCACATCTCCACTCTGCACTTTAATAACTTGAATTTCCATTCTAGTATGGGCTCTTGACTGATTTTATTGCGCTGTTTTTATTTGGTTTTATATTTTGCTGTGTTGTCTGATTTTTTTTAAATTTGTTTTGGTCCATGTTTGGTCCATGTAGACCAATGTTGTTTTGGTCCACCATCATATGCTGATGTTGTCCTTGTGTTTCTTGTCTTCTGTGTGCTCCTGTTGCAACGCAAATTTCCCCTTGTGGGACAATAAAAAATGTGAATCTGAATCTGAGCTCAGGCTTGGTCCTACCCCTAGTTTTGCTGCTATATGCTTAGACTGCTGGGGGACCTGACACATTGAGCTCCTCTCTCTCTCTGTGGATCTGCCCGACTCTAAATGCTACAGGCATTAATATCAGTCTTACTTCTATTATCATTATTATAAATGTTAATGTAAATCTCAGAGGTGTTGATTTCAACTTCTATAATTAGCAGTATTACAATTTTATCGTCATCACAGTGGTTGAAGTAAATATTTGAATGATCAATCGAATATCATACTTTGTTATTCCTGTGCCACATGTACTTTCACCATTATTACTGATTGTGATTGATTCAAATGATACAACATGCCATCTCATCTAGTCTAAGATATCTGTGATCAGTTTTGACTTCTAGAAATCTTATTTCTGCAGGTGGAAATATATTTGTAACATTGCGAAAAAACATTTGTAGTTTTTGACATATTGAATTAAAGATTACCATTAAAATGTGCCTGATATAGTGGCCAGCTGTTTGGTGCTGTCCCTTTAAGCAGTCAGTACAGCTTTAATTGGACTCAGGGTGAATGTGTTTCATTCTGGACTGGGCTGTGTATCCTGCTCCAGAGGGGCTCCGGCAGTGGGTAGTAGGGAGGGTTCAACCAGCAGCACTGTGCAGTTATTCCTTATGTGATTTCATGAGCTCCCTCACTCCGAGCAGAGCCAGCATGAATGTGGTGTCTGAGCCTTTGGTTGGGAGCAGCAGGTCTCTGTCTGCAACCAGGAGACACAAAAGTATCAGGAAGAACTCCCGGAGGATTTATTCAGCTTTTCAGGACCACCAGCAGGGGTGAGTTTGATAAATCTTCCTCTGTGATGGTTTCTGGGAACCCTTTATCTGTCTGTCTCTGTGCCTTTCATCTTTCTGAGTCTTAAATGACATCCTGAAGGTTATACAATTAGCCTTATATTAAATCTAATAATAAGGAGAGTTTCCTGTGTGACTCTTAACTGCCACTCAGCAACATGATGGACATGCTATTTCTTTCATAAATGTCATAGTAGTAGTAAATGTTATGTTGGTTGCCCTTTAGAAAAAAGTGAGGTAGTTCTTTTTTTAACATTTTTTTTTGCACAGTGCATTTTTCATCTTATTTTAATTTTAAGTTATTTGTCTTTTATCATTGTGCATGCACCATTTTAAATATCCTCTTTCTGATTTGTGAGGGAATGTGATCCACAATATGAGACAGAACTCATACAATACTGATATAACCATTTTGCAGATATTCAGCCTTGTATGCATTGTTTCCAGTTCATCCCTTTAAAAATACTTTTTATAGAATAAAAAATTTGCTAGCTTGGACTATGTTTTCAATAATAAAGGAGTGACATATCGCTTTAGAAGGTAGAGGTGAGGGGGGAAATAGTGTCACATGTCGGCATTGCAAGACAGGCTCTGCAATAAACATACATTTTTAATATGACTGGCCAGAGAAATGGTCATGATAGGGAGCAGGGTTAGAGGACTGAGTGTTAACCACTGAGTGTGGACTGGTGGACCTTAGTCTCAAAAAATGCCCTGTGACCACCAAATACTACATGCAGGTGGTCATCTGTGGGAAACACTTTTTTCACCATCATTTCAACAATAAAATCCCAATTAAATATCAAATTAATCCCTTCTCACATTTTTACTTAAAGATACGATGGAGGATTAGGGCCATGTTAAATAAAAAAAAAGTCATAAATTTACGAGAATAAAGTTGTGAATTTATGAGTTTTAAATCTCTTTAATTTACAACTTTATTCTCATAAATTTACGAGTTTTAAATCTCGTAAAGTCGTAAATTTACAACTTTAATCTCGAAATTAAAAAAAAAGAAAAGAAAAAAAACGTATGTTTGCTTTGTTATATAACAGAAGCCTGTGTTATTAACCACCAGGCTAAATTTCACTGGGGAAAAAAACTTGCAAGGTACTGTAGGCTATATCAAATTAAGTTTAAAAATAAAGATGCTGTGGGATGATGTGGGCGTGTCCATTGAATGTGGTGAAGCCACGCCCACTCAGGAGAAGGACTCTCATAAAGTGCTACACCTGACAACAAATGCTTCATCTGGCTGCTCTATTGGACCCGTCCAGCCTTCATGTTTGAGACCCCAGACCCAGAATCAGTTTTTGAACCTGAGGGTCTACCTATTTCCTCTGTTTGCCAAAGAATGGTAATTTTCTTTACTCCATTTATGCAAGTTACCTTATCAATGTGTAATGTTAGCCTAATGTTGAGTAGCATAGCCTAGCCAAATAAAATCAGTTTATCAGTAAATTACCAGATTAATAATGAGAGAGAAGAATAAATATGAAAACAAGTTAACTAAAACAATATCCAAACGATATTCAGAAATTTGACATTAAGCTAAAAAAAAGACATTAAAATACAAAATATATAAATAACCTCAAACTTTAATGGGGACATTATCCGCTTTGCCACCTTTCAAAACACATTATATCTCTTTGCTCTTGATTTTGTTTTAGTTCTTAATCAATCATTTTTATATTTTTTGTTGTATGACCAGCATAAAGGTAAAACTATTGTTCATTTTACACAATATAGATGAGCCCCCTATTATATCAATATTACTTAAATAAAGGCAATTTAACAAGTTGTGGTCCGATTTTCAGTTTCAATCATATACCTGCAGGTCCCCTCATGTTTCATATTAGGACTGCTGCGTGTCATCATTTCAACATTTCAACATGTTGCTAAGCCACAGACCATAGCCTACTCTACCTCAGTCATTTTTATATAATTGTGGAGCTACAGGGGGGCTAAGGGGAGATCATGCTATGGACCCCCAGTGCATCATGAGCCACCCATCTGACACTGCCAAAATAAACCTGAATTTAAAATTGATGAAAGACGTTACCGGTCTAAATCCATAATTAACTTGTACTGAATATTTTCACATCTTTACAGCAGCTTTTTTCCTAACATACTGTATATATGATGTGTGCCGAAATAGGGGGGAGGGTATTTGTTTGGTGACCAATTTCAGATTTTGCGTCACACAAATTAACATTCTATAAAATGGTAATATCTGTGTAATTAATTAATTAATTAATTAATTAAGTATGACAGGGCAACACACACTAAGAATCCTCTGGCTTAGGAAATATTTTGGTTGCTTTAAGAAGCTAAAAACTCCCATCTTTCTGTGCCATTGATTGGTTCATGCCAAGGCTACAGCAGTCCTTCACCCTTACACTTTGTCATCAAGGTGATGTCAAATTGGAGGAATTAAATACACACACATCTTTTTTTTATTTTCGTTAAGGTAATTTATCAAATGGCGCTAATGTTTTTTTTCCAACAATGTTTTATTTATTTTACCTTTTAGCATACATTCAGAGTACACCAACATTATTTCTCAAACAAGTTAAGTCATAACTTAACCAAAGGACAAAGATAAAAACAAATATAAACACAAAGAACAAAAAACAAAGATTAAATGGTGCTAAATTTGAATACAAATGTTAAGTCCATAAACTGACAAAGCAATGTATTGACACACTGTGGTATGGTCTGTGTGGTACTTTACATTATTTCAAAACAGAGATAAATGAAATCATTTCTCTGGTTGTCAAATTTTAGGAGCTTGTTGGCCTGAGGTGCCAGAACTTAAACATATTAATTCAATTCAATTTCAATTTTATTTGTATAGCGTCAACTCATAGCAAGTGTTATCTCAAGACACTTTACAAAAAGCAGGTAGAATACCTTACTCTTTGTCTGTTAACATTACAGGCCGTCAACCAACGATCTTGAGGAGCCTAAGAGAGCTCAAGAGCTCTCAGGAAAGTAGGTGGTTAGTGACTGAGATTTACAGATAGATACATGCAGTAATATGATGTACTGTATATGCACAGAGAGAGAGAGAGAGAGAGAGAGAGAGAGAGAGAGAGAGAGAGAAAGAGAGAGAGAGAGAGGAGCTCAAGGTGCCAGTTTCCCCGGTAGTCTAAGCCTATAGCAGCATAACTAAGAGCTGGTCTACACCAGCACTAACTATAAGATTTATCAAAAAGGAAAGTTTTAAGTCTATTCTTAAAAATACAGACTGTGTCTGCCTCCCGGACCCCGGCTGGAAGGCGGTTCCAGAGGAGAGGAGCCCGATAACTGAAGGCTTTACCTCCCATAGTACACTTAGAGACTGTAGGTACCACCAGCAGGCCTATACTCCGGGACCGCAACGCTCTCGAGGGACAGTACGGCACTACTAGCTCCTTCAGGTAGGATGGAGCCTGGCCATTTAGAGCTTTGTAGGTGAGAAGAAGGATCTTGAATTCTATTCTAGACTGTATAGGGAGCCAGTGCAGAGAAGCCAGGACAGGAGTGATGTGGTCCCTTTTCCTAGTTCTGGTCAGTACACGAGCTGCAGCGTTCTGGACCAGTTGAAGAGTCTTTAGAGACTTGCCAGAGCACCCTGACAAAAGAGAGTTACAATAATCCAATCTGGAGGTAACAAATGCATGAACTAGTTTTTCTGTATCATTTTGCGACAGGATATTCCTGATCTTGGATATATTACGAAGGTGAAAATAGGCTGTTCTTGAAACTTGACTGATGTGAGAGCTAAAAGACATATCTTGATCAAATAGAACTTCTAGATTCCTAACAGTGGCGCTAGATGCCAGGCTGATGTCACTAAGGACAGTCAAATCACTAGAAAAAGTCTCTCTGAGGTTCTTAGGGCCTAGCAGAGATATGTTATCTGTCAGGTGTACTTTTTTTATTGGATTTTATTGGATTAAATCAGAAATATATTTAATTTAAAATCAAGTTAAGCCAAATACATAATCTTGTTTAGAACAAGTCTTAACTCCCCTGTTAGTAAATCATCCACTTTTCATTGCACAACACCAGGCTACAGCTACATGTGATGCTAATCAGATAATATGAAATGGGTGAAGTAAAAATGTGAATGTCTTTTGTATCAATTATATTTTTAAAAGTGAAAAAGTCTGCCAATCTGTACATCACAACCATTTTCATTCAGCTTTGACGATGAAATACTTTAAAATGTCTGTTTACAATGTACCAGTCTTAGTTGGGTGTTTGTTGTGTTTACTCGGCAGCTCTTCAGATGATGAAGACAAAGACGATGAGCGGGTTGACAGCAACGACCCGGAGGAGATGTTCCAGAACATTCAGTACCAGAAAGAGATCATCGCCAACATTCGGACCAGACCCTGGCCAATGAGACGCAAGCTTAAAGTCCTAAAGTACCACACTGCTTGTTTTTTGTTTTGCTGTTCTTTTGTATTTTTCAACGTTATAATTACTCCATCTGTTCTCTTCTGCTTTCCACTCTGCACACAGAGTATACATGTCACTGAACTCAAAGAAAGGGCGCCAAAACCTGAGCACCTCAGCTTTCATAAAAATGTAAACATGACAACTGAGTGACTGAAATACATTCATAGATCAACAACAGAACAGCAACCAGGAAGGGACAGAAAAAAGAATAGGAATAGGGTCTTCAGATGTAACACGTTCTAAAACGTCTCAACTCAGTGAGCATTACACTCTGGACGCTGGAAACTTAAAGTGTCAACCTTTCATGCTTGAGATTCCCCGGCCGTAGTCAGAAAGCCCCGGGGAGACTTATTGGTCTGCTCTAGGGCTAAAGTTTGAGTTAAGTTCAGGGCTGACCCTCATCCCTGTTAGTCGTCAGTAGGTATGGGCATTTATTGTTGCTCGAACATCTTCTTCTTACTGTTTCTCAGCTGCTCATGACAAATACCCTAACTCTCACACTCGCTGACTTTCACTCCCTCTCCTCACTTATAGAATATAATAGACTAGAATTTCTTTGTTGATCCCAAACTGGGAAATTGTGGCTTTATAGCAGCAGGTTATCCAAAGACACAATATGAGCAAATAAACACAATATAATATTAAATACAAAGTAAATAAGCACTAAAAATATCAAAACTAAGAATGAGAATATATACAACCAGGATTTAACTTAGCATTACTAGTCTTAAATATGAAAAGATTAAATACAACATACTTTGCTGGAGGTAGATGTAAATGTTGTAAATGGACAGTATTGACATGGGGAGCTGTCCAGAGCTGTGCAATCAGTGATACATCAGTTAAAGTGCTCTACAAGTCACATAATTCCCCCCAAGCAGACCTTGCTTGCGCAAACATTTGGAGACAAGGCACCCCGGGGCACCCTGGACATCCGTCTTCAAAAAAAACATTTCTGGCATTCAGATGAATTCAATCCAAAGTTTCAGCCACACAGTGATTTTCAGTCCCTCACCGTAAAACCTTTCCCTGAGAACTTCTGATCTTTCTGTCTCCTCATCTCTTTCTCTTTCCAGAGCAGACTCTGACCGTGTTACTATAGTAACCATGCTAACTAGTAACGTTTAAAGCCAAGAGAAACATATAGCTGAATTAAGATTTTAATGACATATTTTGAGTGTGAAAGAGTCATTTTGAATGTGAATGTTGATAGATAAATAACAGCCATTAGTAAAGTCAATATGATATCAGATAAGTTGATTAATCGTTTCAATAATCAATGACTATTTGAAGACCAAAATAGTCGTTAGTTGCAGCCCTACTGTATACACAAATTAATTTTTTATTTGTTTTTACTTACTACCATGACTCTTGTTGGCACTTGTCAAAAGACCTCTATCTTATCTTATCTAAAAGTCAGACACAAAACTGTGATCAACATTGGTCTATAGTTGGATAGTAGAAGGAAAGCAGACAGGAGGAAGAGAGAACCAGAATAGATAGAGAGCTTCTAAGATGTGCTGAGTATGTGCCATGGATAACAGGTTTTATATGGGCAGTTTGTTATTACTGCAGAGGTTTTATTACCGTCATCAGGGATGGAATGCAAGTCTGCGTTTCTACACACTCTTTAATCTCCGGCTTAATGTCTGCGATTAATCCCACCGCTCGTATTTCACATCACAAATCTCTGGTCTTTACGGAGATTTTGCAACAAATTTTAGAGTTATTGTCAGAATTTGAACCCTGACCTCAGCCCTCAGCCTAACCATGAAATGAGGTCACAAAATAAATGTCAAATGCTTTTCATTGGAGAGTGTGACGTGCAGCTGAAACGGCTCATCGCCCCCACCAATATCCTAATATCCTGAACCCGAAAAAATTGACTTTAAAGCTCCTGATCCCGTTCTTACAGTTTATACCAATGTGGCCAGTCTGCTGTGACTGGTTTAAGAACGATCTTGCTTTTATGACTGGTTTGCACTTTTATAAAAAAAAAGGCCATTGTACTCAGCATGCTGCAAACGCTTTAGTAGTAACATGATAGAGCCTAATAGAAACACTGATACTGAAACAAATGTATACCTCCTGTGACTTATCTTTGCAATAAAGAATATAAATGTAGATTACAAATGTGGCATGAAGTCTCCATAAGGGATGAACATGCACCTCTGGATGGGAAGGTGAAAGTCTCTCAGTTGGCAGGACGCTACGTTAAAAGGACGATGTGGAAATGGTGAAAGAAGCAACAAAGTCAGATACTATCATGCCAATTTCTGCCTTTATATCAATGTGTAATAAGACATATTCACACTGTCAAGAAAAGATTGGTAATGAACATACTTGCAATCAGAAAACAGTATGAACAGCTTCATTATGTGCATCATGATTGCACAGGTTGCTCACTGGTCACATGATATAAATGTCAACACCCCCGCCTGCTCCCCTCGAATATTCCTGAATATTTCCTCTTGCGTTCACACATCAGCTCACCCCCTACTCAAACTTTTTGCTAGGGGACTGGTAGGAAAAAAATCAGGGTAAAGTCGTAGAGAACATGCAGCTAACTCTGAAAAGTTTAGTAAATGAGTTTTGTGTATGTGTATAAACACAAAGAGAGGTAAAGACTGTCAATGTGATGCTGTATCCCCTCAAACAACCACTGATCAGACAAAGCTTTTGATTGCTTCTTATGAGCTAATGAACCAGGGAAGATGTCATCAGTACTCACAGTGTACATGCACCTTTGTCTTTGTTTTCCAGGCAGGCCAGAGAGATAGTCCTGAAGTATGAGGGACGACTGACTAGAACCAGAGGGTACCAGACTGCAGGAGCTGATGTACGTACAAACCTTAGTCAGTTACTTTTCAACTTACCTCCAGTTACGTTCACTCAAACTGATTCCAGACTGATCAGAGAGAGAATGTATCAGAACTGAACAGATTCTTGCAGAAACATGCAGGAGAAGACAAAATAAAAAACAACAGAGACAGTTCTGCTCCTCCGTCGTCACTGTGAGCAGCTTAGATGAAGTCTACACTAAAAACTTCGCTTCGAGTATCTTTTCTGTTATTTCACTGCACTGCAGCAACTTGATTATCAGAGCCAGAATAATAAACCATGTCGGCCTTCCTTTGTGCAAGCTGCTGAATTGAAATCAAAAAGAGTGTTTCCCCTCTTGCGGTCTGAACACAAGCATGCTGCAGATAATTCAGCTTGTGTTATCTGCCTATCTTCATCACGTATACACAGAAAGAGGGAGAGAGAGAGAGAGAGAGAGAGAGAGAGGGGGAGAGAGAGAGAGGAGAGAGGGAGAGAGAGAGAAAGAGGGAGAGAGAGAAAGGGAGAGAGAGAGAGAGAGGGAGAGAGGGAGAGAGAGAGAGAGAGAGAGACAGAGAAAGCGAGAGAGAGAAGTGAGAAACAGAGAGAGGAAGAGAGGGAGAGAGAGAGAGACAGAGAGACAGAGAGACAGAGAGAGACAGAGAGACAGAGAGACAGAGAGAGACAGAGAGAGACAGAGAGGAGGGGCTAGAGAGAGAGAGACAGAGAGAGAGAGAGAGAGAGAGAGAGAGACAGAGAGACAGAGAGAGACAGAGAGAGACAGAGAGGAGGGGATAGAGAGAGAGAGAGAGAGAGAGACAGAGAGAGAGACAGAGAGGGGGAGAGAGAGAGAGCACTGTGTGGAGGTAGCATGTGCATGAGTGAATTTATGGCCTGTTGTTAAAGCTTAGTTTAATTAAAATGTTCAGGCTGCTCAGGCCCCAATTAGTATAAATCCACTTTAGTATGTCTGATAATGACTTATTAACTCTTCAGCTCCCACTAATTGAAAATCAGACTCATTGGTGCAGTTGACCTTATCTATAATTGTTGCCATAATCTCAGTTCTGATTTTAATTTCTGTCACAAATCTTCCTGAAGTCCCACTGTTTGTGTTTTTAATTCATCACATGGATATGTGCTGCAACCAAACGAATGCTGTGTGTGCTGCAACCAAAGGGATATGTGCTGCATCTGAATAAAAAAAAGAAAGCTTTATTGGTCAGGTATGCTTACACAGACAATTCATTTGACTTCAGTAAACTGTGCTCTCTAGGTACAATAATATAACATTGAATATTAAACAATTAACAAAGAAATGAACAAATACTAACATGTACAAGACTAAACAGTGCAGTGGTGAGTAATGCAGAAGATGCTGAATGAATATAGTGATAAATTATGTAGTTCTGTAACAGATGGTTAATATTAGAGGTGTGACTTCAAAACGTTTAAGGGTGTTTAACGTTTACTAAAATCACCAACCGTTTAAACGTTAATTAGTTGTTTTTTAAACGTGGTGACATGCACATGTCACTGCTCTCGATCTCTTGTGCACACTCATTTTATGAATAAATGAAAAATTCAATAAAAACAGGTTGGAAACATACTTGGACGGCCCGCCCAGGTGTCGTCTATGTGATGGAACCACTGCGTTTATTGAACAAGCCGGCCACCGCGGCCGCATGTTTTATTGACAATGCTTCATCTCAATAGGATCTATAGAAACAGTTAAATCATTCATCAATGATTCCAGCTTAGGATGCTACACTTCAGGGAGGAGCAAGACTGATTTAAGTGATGTAAGAGTTCAGTCTGTAGATATTTGAGGAAATCCTCAACACATTCAGAGATGGTCAGATATATTTCCACATTATGATCTGTGTAAACTCCAGTTTTTTATTTTCCTGCAGCTGTTGAAGAAAATTTCCCGAGGGCTTTACAACATTGTGGTCCTTTTTATTCCCTGGGAAGTGCGCATTAAGAAGATTGAAAGTGAGTTTTCTCAAAAGAATGAAAAAGTGTTTGATTTTGTTATTATACTTAACAATAAAGTGTAAAATGACCCCCCCCCCCCACTTTCTCTTTTTATATGAAGTACTTTACTAAACCTCCTTTTTCTAGGACAGTTCCATTTGAAAGGTAATTCTATACTTATACAGTTAGACCTTTCAGGACACAGAATGACAAATGAAGAGTGTAAAGTCTGCCTCAGTCAGATGTTTCTTCTGCCTTGTTGAGGTCACTTTGGGTCTGGTGTGGCATCATACTTTATCTTCCTCCGCTGGTTGTTTGGGATCAACATCGTCCTGACCATCATGACTGGAGCCTTCATCGTCCTTCCAGAGGTAAGACACTGTGTGCTACACACACCTTTGTTTGTGACAGTGTAAAAGACAAGGAGTGAGAGAGGGGGTTCTCTTTGTCATCATTTGAAGTGGAGGATGGCTCCAAACTCTAGTTTGGTATGAGTTGGTGGTGAGAATGTACTTTAATTAAATTTTGTTGCATTTTAAAACAGATTTAAATCCATAATTACAATCAAAAGCATTTCTTAACAGTGTCTTGATTTTTTTTTCAAGGATTAGGACAAAGCAGTGCTTTGCTGTCTTTGTTGATGTTGTTGTGTGCTGACTGTCTCTTAAGCTCTCCCGTATGAAGCTCAAACTCAAAGTACTTAGGTGATCATTATTTCCATTTGGCACAAGGTGCAGATTACATTTGATGTGTCCACTATTGAAAATGTACAAACAATATATGACATTTCAGACTCCATTTTTTTAAATTAATATAAATAATAAAAAAAGACAATGGGGCTAAAGGGGTTATTCTTATGATAAGCAGTTGTCAATAATATGAAGTATTTTGGGCGCTGGTGGTGCAGTGGTTAGTGCGTGTGTCCCATATATGGAGGCTATAGTCCTCAACGCGGGTGGCCCAGGTTCAAATCCAGCCTGTGGCTACTTTCCCGCATTTCAATCCCCTCTCTCTCTCTCTCTCTCTCTCTCTCTCCCTGATTTACATCTCTATCCACTGTCCGATCTTTCCAATAAAGGCACAAAAAGCCTAAAAAAATAATAATATGAAGTACATTTATTTTACATTTAAGAAAATAAATAATGTATTCAATATACGTTCATTTTTTTGTCTTCCTTTCCAAAGAGTTGACACCACGTTCATTCTATCTGTTCTATCAGGTGTGAAATGTGCAGGGGGCTGACATGCAAGCCTCTGTACATGGGGCTCTTTCTCTACTAACTGAGCTAAACCCCAGATTGGTTGTATCTTTAATCAATTTATAGTCACTTATGTGCAAACTTGAAACACACCCTCAAGTCTGATCACAACTGATGAAATTTAAAGTAGAACTTCCCGACCTTTACTATCGGGGCTATAGATTGTAAAATGTAATACTTGTTCGTTGACTTCTACACCTCTGTAAAAAGTATTCCTATATTCATAAGAACAGGTCAGAGGAAACATTCTGCCAGGTGATTCTTCTGCAGCCTCACTTTACCAGATAAACACAAACTGCAGACAAGAACAGAGGGGACAAAGGAAGAGATGCTGTTAGATTTATGTTGGTCACTGACCTTCAGACACAAGCAATCTCCACAGTTATGACTTATCCTGTCATTCCCAGTGCCTAATCTGGTTCTACATTTATTTCTCTCTCCCTCATGTGTGAAGGCTGACCTATCAGGAGCTCCCTAATGTTATCCCTCATCAAATGTCTTGGATATCCCTCATATTTGATGTCTGTGTCTGTAAATTCTTTGATCATTATCTAGTGATCGAGCAGGTTAACCTTTGTGTTTCCTACATAATGAGCTTCTATTTGTGGTGAAGCTGGAGTTCTATATTCATTTGACTTAAAGGCAGGGTTGGTAATTTTCTCCAGATCCACTTTTTAAGATTTGCATTGAAATTGTCTTTAGGTCCTGACAGACATTAATAACTCATGTTCTCTGAAAAAGGAACAAAGAAAACCTGTCATCTGTAGCAGCTTTGTAAGTCTGTAAAAACTTTGACCAATGTCTGCCACGAGGTACCAATCTGATGAACCAATCAGACGCCTTCCTGTCGTCCTGCTCGTTCTCCCTTACATGCACATGCCCTAACTCAAAGTGCTCGAATGATGGCCCGATTTTATACTCTGAGTTTGTCGTTGTGAGTTGTAAAATACTCACATTTTTTTACATTTATTACGATAAAGTTTAGTGTTTACTGAATGAGACATGAGACGACGTAGTTTCTAAGGGGCGTGGCTTTAGAGGGAGCACAGAGGGGAGGGGCTGGGTGTAGACGAAGCACTGAGGGAATGCTACTTTCAAAATCATGCTTGTTTCAAAAATGACCAACCCTGCCTTTAAAGAAGTTAAGGGAGACATTGGAACACAACTTGCTTGAAAACAACTCTGCATAACTGATGATGAGCATGAGGTGAACACCACACATACAAAAAAAAATGATATAACCTCTTAACCCCAAAGATTGAAGCCTACATAATATGTAAAAAAAAAATACATCCTGTTTAAAGAAAAAAACAGACAGTTATGTGAAGCAGTGTTGCCAGGACTTCTGGGCCCTCTGAAAAGATATCACATTGTGCCCCTCCACCACAGCCTCAGTCAGCCCTGGGATATTTCTATAACTACACTGACATCACAAAAATGACTCGTTAAAAGCTTTAAATTAAGGTCGCCAAATTTTACTCCTTCAATACTTTTTTATACCTTACATTTCAATGGCATACAGTCTCTTTTATTGTAATTATTGACACAAGGATACAATTTCAGAAGCTTTACAAAAAGCAATGTCCCTTTTATAAGAAAGGTGTGTATGAGAAGAACGAGCCCATGTATTTGTTTAATTTAAACAGTGTACAGGAGTTTACTTTCAGTTTCTGGTCATTAAAAACAAGACTTGACCTAATATTTTGGTGGATAGGGCTTATCAAAACATGCATCAATATAGTTTGATTAAAGTTTAAGACACGGTTTCGTGACAACTTTAAATAACTTTTACTTTGTGCCACACCCTTAAAAACTGTTTAAATGAAGCAATAACAATGAATTAAACTATGTATCTTTTAAAAACATTATAATTGTTTTTAAGCATCTAAGAGGTTCTCATTTTCTTTTTAAGAATTTATAAACAGATAAAAATCACGTTAATTTATTCAGCCAATTGTACCTTTACTATGACAGTCATGTCCTCAAGACAAACAAACAAAACAATACATTTATTTCAGGCCCAATAAGGATTCCTTCCTGTTGTCATCATAATGCATTACAACTATCTCTGTCTGTGTGTACCTAGCTGCTGGCTGGAGCTCCGTTTGGAACGACAAGAAGTAAAACCATCCCCAAGGAGCACCTGGCTTCAGCCCAGGACCTGGACACCATCTGGTCTCTTGGGGCAAGCCTCTTTCCTGTTACTGTTCTGTCAATAACACATTACTCACAGATACAATGGACCATTACTCTCCTGCCTCCTTCTTTCCACAGGTTACATAAGCTTAAAGCTCAATTTATGTAGTGATCTGTCAGGGTAATAATGACTTTCTGTACACTTAGGAACCATTTTTAAAAAGCAACCAAACTTAAACAATGTTCTTCTTCTTCATGGCCTATAGTGAACAGTATAGTGACCAATAGTGGGTCTACATATTGTCCTAGATACGAATACATAAATTGTTGTATTTAATTCTGAATCATCTGTGTTTTTTTGATCTTCAGAAATGATCTCATTATCAAGGAAGACCAGTGATGTTATCCTGAGATAATGTGACTAATGAGTCAAGATCTTGATATCGTATTTGTAATGACTGGAAAACAGAGTAGAATCAAATTAATGGATGTATGTCCGCTGAAGGCTTCAGGAGTTTCCGTAGTTAAAAAATACTTTTAACAAATAGGTAAAAATACCATATGTATACCAATAATGTAAAAAATGGTTAAAGAAATATACATTTTTGGTGCTTAATTATGGTGTGTTCTCATTGATAACTCCTGTAACTGGAGGAGAGCGGAGGCTTCAGAATAGCTGAGGTGTTTCCAAACTGCAGTTTGTTGTTGGTGTTGGTTTAATGCTGGTGCTCAAGGCAGACATCTACTGGATCTTTAAATCACGTCCTGACGCTGCATTAGAAATTGTCATATGCAATCTATACAAAAGTTAATTCATAAAAGATCCAGTGATAATGTGGGGTTAAAAAAGTGTGCTTTGGTCTGCATAAAGCTTCATGAGTCTATGATTTATTTTGTGTTAATTGCATTAACTTTCTATTTCTCATTCTATAGATGTAGTTGGTTCCATCGTGCACTAAACCTCTGTGTTGTGATTCTGTGCTTTGTGTGTGTTTGATCTCCACAGGGCTACCTGCAGTACTCTGTGTTGTTCTATGGTTACTATGGCAGAGTGAGGAAAATTGGCAGCGCAGGGTACCGGTTGCCCCTCGCCTACTTCCTGGTCGGGATGGCTGTCTTTGCTTACAGTTTCATCATCCTGTTAAGAAAGTAATTGCTGCAGTCTTTACACCTCATACCATGCCATAATGATTTTGTTTATCTATTAATGAGATAATGGCTAGATCAGGTAGTGTGTCACATAACAAAATACTGAATGCCTGCTCACAGAGATAGAACAGTCCATCGGCCTGCACTGGGTAAGTTCAGATGCAGCCTGGTTGGAATGTTATTTCTTATCTAGGACGGAGTTTACACTCTTCTTAAATTTAATGTGTTGCACCAGCTGAGATAGTTCCCAGTCAAGACCACCACTGACGTCATATATAAATAACTTCAATTTATTTGTCGTTTGGTTTTTATCTCCTGGATTCGGCAGAATTTACAACTTCAATCTTACCACTAGCTCCCAGTAGGTTCAAAGTCCTCTTTAAAATATGGTTGTCATGGTGATCATTTTGGGATAACTTGAAGGGATGAGGTGAAGCCCCCTGCTTTTATTTTCCATGAGCAGAGATCATTTTATCAGAGCTGGGACAACAGGCCACATGTCACACCAGTGGTCAAGCTTATTCTGGGAAAAGTATTTAACCCTCAAATATTTTTTTGCAATAGTTTTCCTGCAGGGAACTTTCATGTAAATAATTGTTGTTAAATAGCAAGCCCTCTTGAAAGGTCTGACTTTTCTTACATTTAAACACATTTAAATAACTATGCTTTGTCAGAGTATTAATTGTTCCAATAGAGGCATGAGACTGCCCCTGAAAATGTCCTGGCTTGCTTTTTCACACGTGAACTTCACAACGGGGAACTATCCCCATCAGAGGGGAGGAATATTGAAGGAGAGTTCTCAAGATAGACATAAAGCAACAGTGTCACAGCCGATACAACCGACAAAACTCTGTGGAAAAGTTGCAGGGAAAAAATGGGAGTCTGTACTGAGGAAGACACCGTGGGAAAGGTCATTTAAAGCCCATGAATCGTCCATATCATTATCTTAGGTAAACACACAGTGATCCATTACAAAAGACATTTGTCATTTTAGTGTAGGCCACCACTAGAAATATATCCTTGTAGCGCTGTCTTAGGAACGGTTAGCAGAAGTTACCAGAGGGAGCCTCACACTCTTAACATCAGTTTTTGATTGGTTGACCATTTACTACACTTAAAAGCTTTCTGTGATACATAATGTATCTTATGATTATATGTCCTGAAAAACAACACTTCAGAATGGCCAAGAACTCCCGTCTGAGCCTGGCCAGTGCATCAGATGAGAACTTCACATTCTGCTGGAGGGTTTTCTGTGCCTGGGATTACCTGATAGGAAACCCAGAGGCAGCAGAGAGCAAAGGAGCCGCCATTGTCAACAACATCCGGGTTAGAAAATGACACACACTGTACTCTACATATCAGATTACACTTACATTTTCATTTATTCACCGTCAAAGCAACAACACCTCTTTTGACCTCTTGTGTCTGTTTTATACTTTCATTCATAGAACATTAAAAATCTCATCAAACCCAATGTTTTTCTGCACAGGAAGCCATCGTGGAGGAGCAGGAGAAAAAGAAGGATACCAGTCTGTAGGTGTCTTGACTTGACCTTCCAAGAAATGTAACTCCATGCTGCTTATTCATCTTGTAACACTGCCATCATCTTCCTCTGCTGTGACACAAAACTGAGCAACTTCCTCAGTTATAATCATTACAGATTATGGCTGGATTTGTCATCACACTACCCAAGAAAACAGTTCTTCTGACTTCCTTCTGAATTGGTCAAAAAAAACATCACTCTGCATCAGAGTGGTTTCCCATTTTTAAAAAAAGCTATGAATTAAATTTACAGGGAATTAATTTAAGTAATTAACTGTAATTAAGACGACTTTTGAAGGTCTCATCTTAGAATTGAAAGCTTTTTTACTCGATCTTGTCTCGGTCTCAGACTGGACGGACTCCGGATTTTAAATCAAGACCAGTCAAGACCACCACTGATGTCATTACTGTGATTAGAAGTAAAAACAAGCAAATAACTTCAATGTAGTTGTAGTTTGTTTTTTATCCCCTGGATTTGGCTGCAAACTTCCCGGTGTTATGGTTTAAGTGAGTGACACGCCCCATGCACACAAAATGATGATTTTTCATTGATATGTATGGTCTTGGTCTTGACTTGGTCTCAATCCCTAAATGTCTTGGTCTTTTCTCAGTCTTGGAACTCGGTTTGTGTTGTTTTGACTACAACACTTTCTGAAAGTGTTCCAAATACTGGTACAACTCAAAATGATAGTGAAAGTACTGCAGTCGATCATTTTTGAGTTAATGCTATTTCAGCCGGATAAGTTGCATCACATTTCTTTGAGAATAAAGAGGAGTTATAAACTCTGTTCTATTAAGATAAACTGTAAAGATTTAGTGTAATAAAACAAATCAGAACTATTTTCAGTAACTACGATGAACATCGAGATTTGTGAAGTTCTAATGTTCTGATCTGATCGATGTTTTTCTGTGATTGTTATTAATATTTTTTCAGAGCAGTTCTGATAAGTCTGCGTATCTTAGCCAACATCCTGGTGCTGCTGTCGCTGGCCGGCAGCATCTACATTATCTACTTTGTGGTGGACCGTTCCCAGAAACTGGAGCAGGAGAAGCCGGAGCTGACACTGTGGGAGAAGAATGAGGTAGTCATTATCCTCCTCATCATTAGTTTATCAATCAAATCAAACAGTTCCAAAGAATCAATGAAAGTCCTGCAGCTGGTCGAGGAGACAACAGTCAGCTAATCATTTCATTTACATCATAAAGGCTGCCATGCAGTTCATCAATTTGATGCTTTTATAGGTTTACCATTAACGTTTAAACATGTGTGGTATGAGATTTTATAATATTTCATATCATTTTAAGGTAACAATATGAAAAGAGCTGCAACCGCAAAAATATTTTGGTCTGAACCATCAGTTTATCATCCTCAGACTGCTTATTTAGTTTGAACAAATTCACTTTAACCAGAAGAATGTCCAAATACAGAGATATATGCATTAGTTAAGGGAGTCTATGGTGAACAGGTTATGGCAGAATGGAAGCCATTACGATACATTATCCCGCCTATTACATGGATACTTACTAAGGAAATCAATCATTTGAAAATTTTATGAAGTACATAATTTCGACTTTATTATTTTCATTTTCATTTTTTTAACTGGCGGAAACGGGCTTCCATAGTTTTGAGGTTTTTTTTAACTTATTTTTTCCGTTGTTATCATCTCCTTTCTATTTTCCCCTCAGAAAACAGACTGTCCTCAAACTCACTAGACTTCTTTCTGCGGATTAATATGATTACAGTTAATCCTCCAGAGTCTGTTATAAGAGCCGCCTCCCTAGCAACCGCCTGTTTTTCTCAGTAACAGTTTGTTCTGAACCCTGCTACTCATAAGTATTTAACACAGCCATGTACTAAAATGTTACAACAGACTTTATTCCTAAAAGTGTGGACATAACCAATCACCTCTTTGTTTGCTCTGTTCCATAAATCAAAATGTAACTGTCTTTTATGAAGTGCATCAGATATTAGTTATACACTAGAGAATACAATAGGACAGTACTCAAAATCAACCTGAACATAAGAACAAACAGAGGATGGATCTTTTCTCTGTGTCCAGCTGGAAGTACAGATCAAACAGCAACCTCTGGTGTTTGAAAATTAAACAAATGCAGTAGTGCAAAAATAATATATAATAATTATAATACGCGGCTGTGACAAGGACAACCGACCTGCAATGTTGAATCAACTAACATTAGGAAAAGTGTGCAGCAAATTCAGAAACAAAATTAATTCAAAAGCAAACGAAAAAATCCAAAACAAATGCAACTACTGAAACACTGCGAGTTAATGAAAAGTGCTGCAAATACATGAACTATACAAAGACAAAAACAATGCATTTTGACACAAAACATCTTAATGTAGAAAAACTGCAAATCCAGTCCTAAATGAAAGTACATGTAGGGGTGCTCTGTATTTGCAATAGTAAACCATTTTAATTGCACACTCTGCAAAGAGCTTAGTCTCATGAGTGGCGGCTATGGCTCAGTTGGTAGAGTCGGTCGTCTCTCAACCAAGGGTTAGGGGTTTGGTCCCGAGCTCCTGCAACAACATGTCCGATGTGTCACTGGGTAAGACACTTAACCCCAAATTGTTCCCCCTGCTACATCGGCAGCGTATGAATGGGATTAATTACTTCTGATGGTCACTTTGCATAGCAGCCTCTACCGTCAGTGTGTGAATGTGTAGGTGTGACATGCGGTGTATAAAGCACTTTCAGTAGTCAGAAGACTAGAAAAGCGCAACACAAGCTCAAGTCCATTTACCATTGAGCAGACAGAACTCTATGTGCTACATATTTGGCAGAGTTATGACCTCTCCTTGCCTTCCTTTGTCATCAGGTGAGTGTGGTGGTTTCTCTCATCACCATGATCGCTCCTTCTGCCTTTGAACTGGTCGCTCAGCTCGAGATGTACCACCCACGGACCTCTCTGCGATTCCAGCTGGCCAGGTCTCTGTCACTCAAACACACACATTCTTGTACATCCTAGTTCCTGCTGCAGCCAACCTCTTATGTGTATGTGTTTACAGAGTGCTCGTTTTATACCTGGGGAATCTCTACAGCCTCATTATTGCTCTCCTGGATAAGGTCAACAGTATGAGCTCTGCTGTGAGTATTGAATCCCATGAGAAAAATGAAGCATGTTTCTTCCACACGCTTGTTCTTATTTTGAAAGTTCAACCAGGAACCCTCTTGTCATTCATTTATAGCTAAAATGAATCTTTTGTCTTGTTTAGTACAGGCTGCATTTAGGTTGTTTTAGTTAAGCGTAGCATATAGACTGGCGGTGGTACGAGACAGCAAGCCTGGCTCTCACAATCTATAAAACTTGTTAATGTGGGGCATCGGTGGCCTATTGGCTTATTTGTGTGCCCCATGTACAGAGGCTTTAGTCCTCAAGCTGGCATCCCCAGTTCAAATCCGACCTATGGCACCTTTGCATGTCATTCCTCGATCTCTTTAAGAATCTGTCTCTCTTATAAAGGCACAAAAGCCCGAAATAATGTAATTCAGCCCAGTATTTATGTAACTTGTCATGTGTCATGTAGCTGGTGATGGACCCTCCTGTGTTTATTTGACAGGTTCAAGTGGTTTCAGGAAACTGGTCTGACTCCAGCTCTTTCCTGGCCACCATTTCCCAGCCTGACGGAGACAGCCTCTCCACCCTGGTCTCAGAGCTCTCTATCTCTGACCATCACAACAGCACCATAACAACCATTGCCACTGTCTTGGACATCACTAACAGTGCCAGGAGCAACTTAGTGGCTGTCTCCAATCAAACAGCTGTCTTTGGGAAGAACACCCGCTCTCAGCAGGACCAGTGTTGGGAGACTTATGTTGGCCAGGTTTGCTATACACTTTATATTCACATGATCAGTTTCTAGAAACAATGTTGATAAAGTCATCAGTTATGTGTGTCAGGGGAGACAACAAGTCCTACCACTTACCTGACCACCAATAACCATAACGTCACATCTTTAGATGAATAAGACTGGACATTTATTGTACGGGAGTAAAAATGTTATGGTGGAGTGTCATCTCACACTGTGCGACTGACTCATTTATGACGCAACCAAAGCTCATGAAGTATGGTCCAATCATCCAACACGACCTGAGTAACTGTACAAGTTAATTCAGGAACGCAGCATTGACAATTCCTTTGAAAACTCCCACAGAGAGAAGTTAAAGTCAGGCCTGTGTGCATTTCAGTTGCATCATGTGCACCGCTAAAATACAAACTCTCTCACACACACTCAGCATCACCAACAAACAGAACAGGGGCAGCTGTGGCTCAGTGGCAGAGTTGGTCATCTCTCAACTGGAAGGTTGGAAGGTTCGATCCACAGCTCCTGCAGCCCACATATCCGATGTGTCTTTGGGCAAGACATTAAACCCCAAATTGCTCCTGCTGCTACATTGGGGATAATGTCTGAATGGGATGAATGAATACTGATCGACACTTTACAGAGCAGCCCTGTTCCATCAGTGTGTGAATGGGTAGGTGTGACCTGCAGTGTAAAAGCCCTTTGAGTATTCAGAAGGCAGATATAGAACAGCTATACAAGCTTAAGTCTATTTAAGTCCATTTAACAACTCTTATATGGCAGCTGGAGGTCACAGTCATTTCCTGCCACATTGTCCATCTTTGGTAGTATGAGGGAGAAGACAAATCTTCTGTTGTAATGGGTCTTTCAAACGGATTGTGGCTCTAACTGTGCATGTTTGAAAACAAAATTTAAAACATGCCAGAAAATCCTCCGACCAGTTGAGTCGAGCTGATTAGACCTCGATCATCTCTCTAACCCCGCTGTACACTGCCAAACACACAATTGGGTTGAAATTTGTCCATATTCAGAATCAGCTGTGAACACAGTTTTACCCCTGAGGCATCTTTTGTGCCCTATGTGAGACACAATGTCATTGCTGACTTATATAATTATTAAATAATAATTCAACTGAAGCAATGATTTCACCTTAACCTTACCAGGTTGGGGGGGTCTACACCACTTTGAGGGTTGAGACAGGATACAGCTTTAGGTTGTTTGTGACAATATCTATGTAAATATATCTATGTAAATAGCTAAGTCTTCCTGTGGGGGAAGTCCTGTTGTGGACCCTGGGGGACTGGTAGCTGGAGAGTAACAGTACCAGATCACTTCCAGAGAACTGCTTAGGTGCCTTGAATAAGATGCCTAACCCCTAACTGTGCTCTTTATTGTGCAATCAATCAATCAATCAATCAATCAATCAATCAATCAATCAATCAATCAATCAATCAATCAATCAATCAGTCAGTCAGTCAGTCAGTCAATCCATCCATCCAACCATCCATCCAACCATCCATCCAACCAGCAATCAATCAATCAATCAATCAATCAATCAATCCACCCATCCACCCATCTATCCATCCATCCAGCAATTAATCAATCAATCAATCAATCCACCCATCCAACCATCTATCCATCCATCCATCCATCAACCAATCAATCAATCAATCAATCAATCAATCATCCAACCATCCATCCATCCATCCAACCATCTATCCATCCAACCATCCATCCAACCATCCATCCATCAATCAATCAATCAATCAATCAATCAATCCATCCAACCATCCATCCATCCAACCATCTATCCATCCATCCATCCATCAATCAATCAATCCATCCAACCATCCATTCATCCATCCATCTATCCAACCATCTATCCATCCATCCATCTATCAATCAATCAATCCATCCATCCATCCACCCATCAATCAATCAGTCTTTATTTGTATAGCACCAATTCATAATTAAAGTTATCTCAAGACAACATAAAAGACCTTACCCTTTGTTACATCTCTCTGTCAGAGCATGCCCATAGGCTCCTGTTTGTGCACAAGAGTCCATTCTAAGGAGCTCTCTTTCATAGACTTTAGTATTTCTTGACGATTTGCTGGCCATCTTTCACGGCTGGTGATGTACAGACTTGAATACTTAATATTCCAATGCTTTGTAAGGGTATTTTGAGTATGTTACCTCAAACTGCAAAAACTTATAAATGTTGAATAACTCGAGGAGCGCCTGTGGAGACGTCTTCACTCCGCCATGACTGGAAGCTCAAAATGCTGTGTTTTGGTAAGTATATTCTTGAATAACTGATCAGAGTCAGGGATACTTGTGATCTGGCTGTTTTTAGTGGCTGTGTAACATTTTATATCCAAGAATAAAATTGTGAGATTTAGATGTTGACAATATGAACACTTGCTATAGAGTTGATGGTATATGTTTACGATGTGTCTCCAGGAGATGCTGAAGCTGTCCATCATCGACATGATCTTCACAGTGGCCAGCATCCTGCTCATTGACTTCATCAGAGGTTTGGTTGTCCGCTACCTGAGTGACTGCTGCTGCTGGGATTTAGAGAGCAAATTTGTAAGTTGAAGCCTGGAGGAGTATTTTGGTTTTACAGTAAAATTGTGAATATTCTGTTTCTCTATTAGGCTGTGAGTAGCAGATATAAAACGTGTGGTGTGTTCACTATATGATTCTTAAGAAGCTGGCAGCATGCAAAATGAGTTTGGAAAAACTTAACAGGGATCCAATCAGCTGCATGGAGTAGTTCTCTTTATCCAGTCTGTACTTCAGTTTTGTATTTTTAGGTTGGTAGACTTCATTGATTTGACATTGAAGTTTAAGTTTAACTCTGACTTCATGATAGGTTAACCTAATATTTCCCTGCTGGGATGAATAAAGTATATCTTATCTTATCTTATATTAAATATGAGATAAATATGAAAACAGCCTTCTTGTGTCAAACTGCACATATCCTGTATGGTGGCCCTGAAGGTCAAATGCAAAAATATTTACAGCGTAAATAGTGCAAATTTCATGATGCTAAATATTTCATGAAATACAAAAACATTTCATAAAATGTAATATATAATGAAATGCAAAAAGACATATTTAATGAAATAATATTTATTTATAACCTGTTTGTATTTTTTCTTTCAATTTTTTTTGTTTTGTTTTGTGAAATATTTGCTTTCCATTATATAGTTTTTTTGTCTGATTAAATGTTTTTTGGCATCCAGTAAAATATTTTTTTGAAGTCGTGACATTTTTGTACAGTTAACCTTCAGGGCCACTGTACTTCGATACAGTGAGGCTCAAACTTCTGAGTCGATTGTCAGACTTCAAACTATAGCCTAAAAGGACAATGTGATAGAAAAAAAACCACAATAAACATCTCAGTAAAAATGTTTTTCTTTCTTTTCATTTCCTCAGCCTGAATATGGAGAATTCAAAATAGCTGAGAACGTTTTACATCTGATTTATAACCAAGGAATGATCTGGTAAGTTTGAAATGTCTCTAAAATAGTGAAGAGAAGATTTATTTCCATTTTGACAGTGTAACCTTGGCCTGGCCACTGTGTGTGTAATGGATGATCTAACTCAAAGTTAATAGTCCGACTCATGCTGACCAGTCTCCATGACCCTGTTTATAGAACTGTGGCCCTCTATATTCTCTCCATTACCCTCCTGTGGCCGGCTTCACTGTATTTCCTCAGCTCATTTCAGAAATGTCTCCTCACAGCTATAAACGTAATGAATTGAAAACCATGGGCCATGGGACAATCCTCCATTGCGGTGTGTGTTTGTGTATGTGTGCGTGAGTCTGACTTCCTTTTCTTTTTCAATCCTGTAGGATGGGAGCTTTTTTCTCTCCCTGTCTTCCTGCTTTCAATGTCTTGAAGCTGATTGGTCTGATGTATCTCAGGAGCTGGGCTGTTCTCACATGCAATGTTCCCCATCAGCAGGTGTTCAGGGCCTCCAGGTCTGACACACACACACACACACACACACACACACACACACACACACACACACACACACACACACACACACACACACACACACACACACACACACACACACAACTTAACGGTGCATTAAAAGGTGTTTCTTCTCATGGCCATAAGGGGGCCACACTACTCTATGAAAAACTCTATGGCTGTGATTTAAAATAACTCACTGCTCACTACACAGTCTCCTTTATAATGAGATAGCCAATTAATAGTCTTGTCTGAATGTTTATTGAGAATAAAACCCTATATAGTTTACTAAAATTGTCCTACATATTTTAAAGTATATGAAAAGTATTGTAAAACTAATGGCAAAATGCATCACAAGATTCCATCATGCATTGCACTGAATGGATAAAAACAGCAATGACATCATTGAAGGCAACGAGAAAATGACCTCTGCTTTGTTGGGAAGTTTTCTTTAACTGAATATGAAGTCGTACAAAAACAATCAAGATAGTGAATGAATGATTGTGTTTGTGCTTTATGAGAAAATGAGGCTACTTCTTAGTTGATCTCGGTAAATACTGTTGTAATGAGATTATGGTCTCAATCTCAGGTACAAACGGAGTGTTCTTGTTGTATGAGTAAAATAGATGATAAAGCAGGGTGCATTTTCTTTAGGGTATTTTACCTGTTGATTGACAAGTCGCACCACGATGAACCCCTTGGACGCACCAACAGAAATTCTAAGGGGTTGATTGCTAACTTTTTCAATGGCAATAAATTCACTATTGTTGTCAAAGTTGCTGAAGGTTTCTGCCTGTTAAAAGGACGTTTTTTTCTGTAACTTTAAATTCTGCTTATCAATCCATCAATCAGTCATTATTTTTTGGCGCCAATTTATAGCGAGTGTTCTTTAAGCACTTTACAAAAGAGCAGGTTCAAGACCATACTCATTCTTAAGGAAAATGGGATAGAGGTAGATGGGATAAGATGCATTCATAAGATGCAGAGTCTCCTCTGTATTCCTGGCATGCCACACTCTAAGTCTTTCCCTGATACCTTATCATCTGGAGACGTGTCATTGTGTAGATCACCAGTATAGTAGATGCATCTCCCTAAAAGTAGAGACAAGAAAATATATTCATATTTTCATTTCATTGTACAGTGTTCCCCTTTGTTATATATTTGCTTGAATACAGTGTATAGCTTCTGTACAGTTTATTTTAAATCATTTAGCTGTTACTACAACTTATTTTTTATTTTATTTTATTTGTACTTGTCTACTCTTTTTTCCTTATAATGTTATTCTATTTTATATATAATTTTAACATTTTTGTAGAAGCTGACTCAGGGAAAAACGCACAAAAATCCCAATGTACCTGTACTGTCCTGTACCTGTGCAAATGGAAATAAACATCTATTCTATTCTATTCTATAAGAACAAACATTTACACCGGCTCAAGGTCCTCTGCCCACTTTGATTTATGAAATAAGGCTGTAATTGCCTCTTTCAGTTCTTACCAGTCACTCCCAGACTGCCGGTAAATCCAAACAGCCACACACTCAGAGACAGCTCACTATACAAGTGGAGAGAAAATGTCATGGGGGCAATTAAATGCATTTGTGGGGAGGAGAGAGATCTTGATATTGACAGGCAGCTTTATCCCTACTTATTATAATGGAGTGTAGATTTATAATGTGTGTTACGCTGAATATATGTTATCACGATGAAGTTGTTTTTCTGGCCTCTAACAAGGAAATGCAGGATCTGAAATAAGAGAGCAGTTCACTGATAGGCTAAATGCCCACATAAATAAATATTACTGTGTGAAGCATTAACTATGTTACTTTAAAGAATAATGCAGTAGTATAAGGGTAATGGTTGGGGTTTAGTGACTGATGATGGACAGCTTAGAGCAGTGGTGTCCAAACTTTTTTTCTTGCGGGCCAAAATTGTTGTGTTAGAATCGCTCGCGGGCCACAGGTTTCGTTTTTTAAAATATAGTTGAAAAAATAGTAAGGCTTTGTAGATCAGAATCAAAGGGCTCGCTAAAGAAACCCTTTAATAAAAGGAAATGAAATATTTTGATTTCTTTGTTCTACTTTATTTGTTTTTTTCTCAGAATCAAGCCTGTAATGTGGTTCATGTTTTTGGAAAAGCTTTCTGCATTTAGCTCGGGTCATTAAATGGTTAAACAACAGTCTGCTTGTTTGCAAAAACAGCAGTTTTTTTACATAGTTTACAAAAAAATGTGGAAAATAGTAAAAGCTGTAAAAAAAACAACAACAACATACATGTTACTGAACATTTTCTATTTTAGGAATATTGTTCAGCCCTTGTTAACATGAACAAGAAAAATAAGATAATGTGCCAATCTTAATCAAGGCCTCCGGCCAAAATCTTTGATTCTTCATCTGAAGTCACGGGCCGCAAAAAATCCCCTCAAGGGCCGCAAATGGCCCTCGGGCTGCACTTTGGACACCCCTGGCTTAGAGGAATGCAAGTTCACAATGAAGTGAAACACTGAAACGACTGCAAATGTAAAAGCAGGGGGGAAAGTAACAGATGGATTAAGCAATTTGATTAGTTGTACAATAAAGATAGAATTACATTTTTTTTCAATCTTGAGGGTATTTTCTTGTAAAACTGAGTTTAGTCTTAGCTCTCCACAGCTGCGCACAGGAGATGCCTGTCATTTAGGAGCCAGCTGGTAGTGCTGGCATGGAAGGCTACACACTGCTGTAGGCTGGCTCTTTTGTACCGTGTACATTTCAGAAAAAAGGACCTTATAATTTATGACAATGTAAGTGTATGCTAGTATATTTAGAACATTTTCAGCACTTTACTTTGCCGACAGCAGGCCGCTTTGTTTCACTTTGGTGCACCACAAACCTGTCAATCTAAAAACTCCAGTCTGGAGATTTTAGTGTGGCTTAGTTAGTTGCAAAAGAAAACAAAAACGTCAGCAAAGGGATTGACAATTTCAATATTAGTTATTTTTTAAGTCTGTAACCACCAGTAAAGTAGGTGTCAGATATGGATGGTTACAGAACGCTGCAGGAACAGCATTATTTTTATATAATGATACACAGTAGATGCAGAGTGAGTGATAGATTTGACTGTTTAATGACAGTAGCATGTAATAAGTTTATAATGACAGTATGAGTGGTATTACAGTCTCCATGGCTACCCGTTAGTGATTGCCCCTTTATAACTATAGATAAGAAGCCAATTCAGTGGAATGAGTTGTGCAGAAGTTGTGCTTCTAAAGTGTCTGATACATAGACAGATGTTGGAAAGCAGAAATCTCTCCTGTCAAACTACCTTGTGGAAATATTTCAGATTAAGTGCAGTACCCCGATAGTACTGTTACACATGAGACAAACGCTTATTGTTAACACGTAAAAGACAAGATCAGCAACAATTCATTTATTTCACTGCAATGCTTCTTCTGCATTAGACTTGATTACAGAAGCGATGTTACCTGTGTCTTTTTGCAAACTAGATTGCAGGTTTTCAGACATACCTATACCATAGACTCTTTCGCAGAATGGTGTAGGCTGAACTGTCTTGACTTTAACACCTCAAAGACCAAAGAACAGGTTGTTGACTTCCGGAAAGAACCTAACAGCATCCCCACTCTGTCAGTCAACAGCCAGGCCATAGAGAGGGTTGAATCATACAGATACCTCGGGACAATAATTGATCACAGGCTTACCTTCCAACCCAACAGCAAATCCATCTTCAAGTGCCAGCAGCGCCTCTTCTTCCTCAGAAAACTCCGCAAATTTCAAGTCCACCAATCAGTCCTAACAGCATTTTACAAATGTTTTATAGAATCCGTTTTAACCTTCAACATCATAGCCTGGTTTGGGTCTCTGCCAAACATTTATCGTAACCCATTAAACAGGATCATAACAATAAGCAGCAAAATAATCGGACAGCAGCAGGAACCACTGATCAGTATCTACAACAGGAGAACAAAACTAAAAGGGCAACACATAGCCTCAGACAGCACACACTCACTCTACACTACTCTGCCATCTCTACAACCGTCTCCCCTCAGGCCACAGATATAGATCTCTCTATGCTATGCTATGTCAAACTTTGCTCCCACATCCATCAGGCTCATGAACAAATGACCTATTTCTTATTTATTTTTAAGACCACTCATTTAACCGCTCATAACAATTATTTATGACTTATCATGCTTTTTTTTTTAGAAAAAATCTTCAATTCCTCATATAAAATACAGCAGATGAATGGAAGAGCAAAATCTTAAATATTTGCAGCATTTTCATAAACAGTTAGGCAGGTAGCATGAGAGCAAATGTATGAAAACAACAGGAGTGTGAAAATTGTTCATTTTACCTTGCTCTTTTTTTCTTTGATTTTAGATCAAACAACTTCTACCTGGCTATGCTGCTTTTTATGCTGTTTCTGTGTATGCTGCCCACCATCTTTTCCATAGTGAGATACAGACCATCACAACACTGTGGACCATTCAGGTAAGCACAGACTTCGGATCATTCAAAAGATGCTTCCTTTTTTTACATTCTATTTTGTGAAAAACTACAGAAGACATATCTATCCCCTCCCCCAAAAAGGATCAGTATCACTTTATTACATTGTTTGTGTAAAGCTAAAAAAATGAGATAAAAAAATGTGTGTGTTTTAGTGGGCAAGAGAAGATTTATGACATCATCTCAGAAACAGTGGCCAATGACTTCCCCCTGTGGTTCAGCAAAGTGACGAGTTATATCACCAGCCCTGTGGTGGTGCTGCCAGCACTGCTGCTTCTGTTGTAAGACTGTGCACACCCACACCACTCATACACACACCAACGCACACACCCACACACACTTGAGATTTGTCCCTGTATGTTTCAGCATGCTGATATACTATCTCCAGGCCATCGCCAGATCCCTCAAATTCACCAACAACCAGCTGAGGATGCAGCTGCAGACTGTGAGTTTCTGATGAAGTATTCTCCTGATCCATCCAGTTTATTTTTTTATTGAATGGTTCACAGGACTGAAGAAAACACGTGTAAAAACTTCTCAGGCAAAGTGCATAACAACATATAACAGCTTTGCTCGGGCTATATGATTTGTGATGGAAATTACAGTGTCAACATTAGCAGACATTTAAGAATGATAGACTTCAAATCTGACATTTTGAAGTTAAAATAAAACAGAGTTTTCTGTTCCACTATACTTATCAATGTATTCTCATATTGCTATAAAATGTGCCAAGCGTCACGTGTCTGTTGTTTCACTAACCTGACCAACACTTTGTCACAGCCCATCCTCTAATGTTTGATAAAGATGTTTCTGTTTGGCACCTATTGAAAAAAACAACAACCATAAAACATCCCAAACCAGTTTTTGGCCTAATTTCACAAAACAAGTGTTGATAATTATCATTAAAGCAGTTCTTTATTGGAACATGACAATGTTATCTAAAGCTTGAGTTTGACTTTTATCTCATTAGGAGCGGACTGAGGACAAGAAGAAAGTCTTCCAGATGGCTGCAGGTATCTGTTCCTCAGATCTCCTGTGTGTGTGTGTGTGTTGGGCTTATTATTTCCAGACCCTCACCTTGTGATATTTACCCTTCCCTTAGCGAGACTACAGGGTCCAGAGGCCGCAGCAGATAAAAAGCCAGATCAGCAGGAGAGTGACATCACGAGTCAGGAAGCCTCGATCCAAACTCCGTCTCCCAGACGCAACGGCAGTGTCACCAACTTTCAGTCTCCTGTTCGATGTGGAAACAGCCTCCGCACCATCACCCAGTCAGCATCTAGAGCAGACCTGAACAGAGGAATTGTGGCTGGATCCGTCAGAAATCCATCAGTGACTGCACTGCCCAAGCACAGGCTGGAGCACATACCCAACAGGTCTCACACACTCATATGTTGCTTTGGCTAAATCATGGATATAGTGTATTTTACAGATTTTTAATTGAATACAGAATTATAAATCTTTTAGTTGTTCTTTATATTTTGGGCTGAACAGTTTAACCTAGGGTCAACTTTGATTTAAGTGGTCATTATTTTAGCTGTCCAATTCCAAGCCATTCATGGTCAACACATAATTTCAAATGATACATTTCAGTATTATCAGGGAAACAACACTGCAGATTAAATGATGCAGCCTGATGTTCAAGTGTGAGAGACATACGAAAATACGAACACGGTGTGATATGATTTAGAAAACCTTTAACATGCAGCGCGGAGACAAGACTTCACATCAGCTCTTTACTGATAGTCCAGCTCATGCTGCCTTTTAAACCCTGCAGTATCAATGAACAGTCGTGAAACAATAAACTCATACACCTATAGCAATACAAATCACACCTCTCGTAACAGAGTAGAATAGAATAGAATAGATGTTTATTGCCATCTGCACAGGTACAGGACAGTACAGGTACATTGGAATTTTGTGCATTTCTCCCTGAGTCAGCTTCTACAAAAAAGTTTAAATTATATATAAAATAGAAGAAAAAAGAGTAGAAAAGTACAAATAAAAAAAAAAAATAAGTTGTAGTAACAGCTAAGTGAATTAAAATAAACTGTACAGAAGCTATACACTGTAATAAAGCAAATATATAATACAACAGTGGTAAAACACCAATGAGTAGGTCATTGAAAGATCAGTGCCATGCATGCCCTTTATTTGACTGTTTTTCTGTATTGAGGAGTTAATTTCAGTCTTTTCTCCTTGAGATCTCGATATTTAAAATCGAAATAATGTTAGGATCGACTGATTAAGGTACCTTTATCAGCAGCTGTTTGATACAAAAAAACAAAACAAACAGAACATATAATCAGTTTTATAAATTACTCATGGTAGATGAGAATCGAAGAAGCACATTTTGTCAGAGCCAGCTGAGTCAGATGTTACTCTTAAACTGATGACTTAACATGATTATCTTTAAAATATGTCCGTAAATTATGGGACACAAAGATGTATTTGACTATACCACTATAGCATCAGCAATAACTAAACACTTCAACTACAACAGTTTCTCTCACTGCTTTGTAAACGTGTTGCTAATAAAACTGGAGCTGGAGCAGATTTAAAAGAATAGAAATTGTTCAGCCCTAGTTTCCTTTTTCTTTGAGTATTAACTTAAGAATGTTTTAAATTAAGAATGTTTTTCCAAGCCTGTCTCAGTGAACATCATGTCTCCTTGGTTTTCTAAAAATAAATGGGTTGTAAAGTGGTTTTGCAGTGCAAACAAAGATCAATATTTTGCAATCACAACATAATGAGTACTATAAAAGCTAACTCTCGTGTTGTTCTTCTTCATAACAGGCCGCCACCGTTTCTTGGAGCTCCTGGTGGTACCAGCAAGTCCAAGTCCTACCATCACATGGCATTCAATCCTCCAGCTGGCTATTCTGACAACATCAACTCTGACCTCTGTACAGGAAGACCAAATGCTCCATCAACCCCATGGAGGCTGCAGGAATCATTGCGGCACACAGTTATGGAGGACGGCGTGGCCACACCACCAGATATGTGATTGTTAACGAGCGAGAGCCCAGGAAGAAGCTGCTGCGCTCAGCCACGAGGATCCCACGCCATTACCTCATGGAGGAGTCGGCAGAGATTTTGGAACTGTACCCACGCAACATGAAACGCTATGCAGCCCGCACAGCTCACCATCAACCTCGGCCTCACCAGTCCCACCCATCGGAGCAGCATCTGAGCGAAGAGGAAGAAGAGGAAGAGGGACAAAGCAGGAGGCGGGTGTCGTTGGGAAAGGCTCATCGGCCCCGTTCCCTCTCTGACCTCCGCCATCAAGCGAACTTCTTCATCGGTGACCGCGCTGAGGGCCACTTGTCGGGGGTTAAAGGCGCCCATCCTGCTCGAGGAGGATATGTGGCGCAGAAAGAGGATGATCTGGATGATTGTGAAGGGGACTCAGGAGGTTTAGAGTCACCTTCCTGCTCCCAGACCAGTGTGAAGGGAGCAGACTCTGTGCTTGTCCAAACCAGGTGTCACATCCATTCCCCGGGAAAACCCAATCAGTCCACTGGGAGAACAAGGCTAATGGAGTCCTACGTGAGGCCCAAGACAAGACAAAAGCTGGACACTCCTCTGACTGAGTCAGACTCAGGCTCCCTGGCCTCCAGTAGTGACCAACAGAACAGCAGCACCGACCAGTACATCCAGGTCATTCATAACAAAGAGCGCTATCTCAAATCTGATGCCAAACAATCAAAGATAGCCAAAAAAAAGTCCAAAACAAGCATTGATCTGAATGTAGATGAGTCCAATGACCTGATTTGCTCGAATGTTTGAAAACTTAGCTACTGTTAGATTGTTCCTCAAATATCTTATTACATAGATATGACAACAATATGTTACTACATTAAACTGAAAGCACAGAAAATAAATCATTTTAAACGTGTTTTCTCTATCTAATGTGTGTATTGTGTCATTTAGAAACAGAAATGTTAGCTCTAAAAGCAAACACATATGCTATTAGGTTGATGTTAAGGACTTATAATAATGTATGTTACTACCACTGCTTACCTGATATTACAATAAAACACTGAATCATCTCATATGTCCGACCTGGCCTGTGCACTCATTTAACCAGTCAGTTAACAGCATTTCATTTGGAATGTAGGGCAACTACAATTCCCAGTGTGCTTTGCTGTAACCAGCTCCGGTGAAGCTAGACAAGACTACCGGAAGTAGCCGTGCGCCTGGCCTTCAAAACAAAAATACTTAAACTTATTCCCTGTGGGAAAAAAACTAATTTAACACGATGTTCAATTTAAACGTTGAGTAGTATTGAAGGTAAACTGAATGTGTATAATATGAGGGACAAAAAATGACTAAAGTATAAATTAATAAATAAATAAATAAATAAATAAATAAATAAATAAATAAATAAATGTTGGGAGAAATGCATACAATAATGTATAAATAAATAATTAAATAAATGCATCAATAAATATATAAATGCTGAAAACAATACATCAATGAATAAATAATAAATACACTTTGTTAATGAAAAAGGCTATTTATATATTTTTACATGTATTTATTCATTTATTAGTGTATTTCTACAGTTATATATGTATCAATGCATACATTTCCACATTAATAGAATTATTAATTTATTTCCGTATTTTTACATTTACACATCTATTTATTTCTGTGTCCAGGTCGTCAGATGAAAAGTATATATGTAAATTTGCTTCTGTGTGTTTTTCAAAATTGACCAATCCTACTTCAGTAATGTTAGGACGGCCCATTTAATTTACATATTTACTTTTCCTTGTACAACATGGACACATAAATACATAAATAAATATATTAATATATTTATTTATATATTAATTTATATGAATTGATGCATTTATTTAATTATTTATTTATTTATTAATTTATTTATACTTTAGTAATTTTTTGTCCCTCAGTATAAATGTGACATGGCACATTTCCATACACGTTCAGGTTTGACAGCAGGACGTTTCTTTTGAAGGACAACCGGAAGAGAATTTTTTTTCTGGATGTGTTTACACCATTTCCCTCTGATTTCGGGAAATTCATTCATCTTCTTGAGGATTTTTTACACAGTAATCGCATTAGATTGCTGTCCTGCGACATTAAGAACACCTTTACTATTAGTGCTGTGTTTGATTCTGCTCACACACCGAGCCAGCTGCTGTGGAGCTAACGCAGTACCTTTCATTCATTTGTCTGTGAAGTGTTGGATCATGCTCACCTGACGAGCTAAAGCTACTGATCACCGCTGTGTGACTCTGTGTTTGATTGAATGAAGGGATAACTATCACCTGTGTGGGCCATAACGTCAGCTTCCCCGAACAATAAATTCAGTTAGCAAAGGGGTCTTTTGCTTGTCACCTGTTATCTATCATGGATTATGAAGAGAAAGCGAAGTCGGTGGCTGATTGTTTGATGGGCTACAGGAAGGATGCGTCCGGGTGGAAAGTCTGCAAGAAATCGGTAAATGGTTATTATTTTTCTAAATGGAAATACTCAAACACTTGTCTTGATAACTCGCATCTCACTCACTGGTATAGAGAACGAGTAGCTTCATGTAAATATCCCTGAAACCTGTCGTAGACAAATATGCCGACAAATGACGCTTTAATACGGAACCCCGAGGTGGACATTTTCGATCTATTTTATTTAACTCCCGCGTTCTCGCGATACTGTGTGCATTTGGTCTGTTCTCTCGAGATCTCAACTCGTGTATCTCGTTAGCTTGTCTTCGAAATGCTGGTTTTTATGAGGGACAAAAAATGACTAGTATAAATAATAATAAAAGTATAAATAAATGTTGGGAGAAATGCATACGATAATGTATAAATAAATAAATAAATGCATCAATATAAATAAATATATAAATGCTGAAAACAATACATCAATGAATAAATAATAAATACACTTTGTTAATGAAAAAGGCTATTTATATATTTTTACATGTATTTATTCATTTATTAGTGTATTTCTACAGTTATATATGTATCAATGCATACATTTCCACATTAATAGAATTATTAATTTATTTCCGTATTTTTACATTTACACATCTATTTATTTCTGTGTCCAGGTCGTCAGATGAAAAGTATATATGTAAATTTGCTTCTGTCTGTTTTTCAAAATTGACCAATCCTACTTCAGTAATGTTAGGACGGCCCATTTAATTTACATATTTACTTTTCCTTGTACAACATGGACACAGAAATACATAAATAAATATGAATATATAAAGGCCCAAAAAGCCCAAAAATAAATCTTAAAAAAAAGATTGAGTGATGTGTGTGTCCTTGGGCAAGACACTTAACCCAGAGTTGCTCCTGCTGCCTCGTCTGCGGTGTATGAATGAGATTTGTTACATCTGATGGTCTCTTTACTCAGCAGCCTCTACCATCAGTGTGTGAATGTGTAGGTGTGACATGTGGTGTAAAAGCACTTTGAGTAGTGAGAAGAGAAAGGCGCTATATAAGCTCAAGTCCATTTCCCATGTATCCCTGCCTTTGCTTTCCACAATCAACTTTTTCATCTTGTCTCCTGTTTTTTCAAAGTGGATCTGTAGTTGACCGGTCTGACCAGATACGGGAGCTCTTTTTAGGGCGCACTCTGCAAAAGCGCCCTGCCATAGTTCAGCTGTCTTTACGTCTTTGTACATTCATATTGATTATGCAACAGCGTAGTATTGGTATCCACACACACACACACACACAGTGCTGTCTATCCCTGCTGGCTCTGTTGATCCTGGCTCGCCCCTGTAATGTAGGCGGGACAGAGGGGGCGTCATTACTCCTCTGTGACAGTGAAGGCGCCTTGAACAGGCAGTTGGAACAGGTCTAATCAGGACAATCAAGAATATTTGTATTCCTCCTACAGGAGCCCTCAGTGGACAATCTCCATACATTTGATTTAACACTGTAACAATGGGACGGCGTTCCCATGATAACGTCAATTCTAGAGATCTGTAGAAAACGACTGTGAAAACTAGTGTTGTTCTCCTGCATTAACATTATAAATAATAAGTCGAAAAGAAAGCAACCCATAATTGACTCTTCATCACAGAGAACAGATTTAAATAAAATGTATTAATGCTTATCCACGTAGGGCCTCTGTACATTCCTACTAAAATGTTTTAAAGAACTTAAACTGAATGTTTTTTTTTCAAGAGGATCAAAACGAGGTGATCAAGCCTGGTTTCAGAAACAACTCAATCACTCTGACAGCTCTAATCCAGTCAGAGTTCCTCAAACAGCTGGACCCTGGTGCTTAATATTTGACTGTTCACTTGTTGTTCCAGCTGAAGGAGACCTCTCAACAGCAGCATCTATCAGACTCTTCACAATGCTCTTTGTTTATCTTCTGTTTTTTCTTTGGCAGAATGACGTCGTCGTGTCTTGGCGTCCTTCATCTGAGTTCCTCGGGAATGTGTGAGAAACTTCAACTCCTTTTTTTGTCTTTCTTATTTATTTTATTTTATGTTTGGTTTAATAAACAGTTGAAATAAAAAAAGATTATAAATCATTTGTGTGTTGAATAGAGAAAAACATATTCCCATGACCATGAGCCTCTTGTTAGATGTCTGAAACTTCATTTAAACCTTAAGCAACCTCTAGTTAACCTGAAGGATGTATTAGAGGTGGAAGTGATTGACAAGTAGTTCAAAAAATTCAAAAATTCTAGCTGTACCTTTTTTTAAAAGGGATAGTTGATGTAGGAGGTTTTTGAAGTGGGGTTTTAAGGGGTACTTGTTATAGCCAGTATATTAGCCACAGGATCGGCCCTTTATTGAGAAACCGGCTGGAGTGACTCTCCTAGGCTGTACAACGTTTCTGATGGGGTCCTCCATCCTTCCATCCATTCCTTCTGTTCCCCGCCAGCATTTTCCAGCTCCCCCTGTGGGATTCTGACAGGGGTCATTTTTAGCTCATTTTAAAGGTTCAACCTAAACACCAAAGACAGTGTAATTGTACATTAAGTTTAGAAAATGGTCAGTGCTTTACTTTGCCATAATAAATCTGTTTTAACACTGTTCCACCAAAACACACAAACGTGTCTTAAGTGTACATTTCAACTTTGCAAGTAGACTCAGCTATTGTGAATTTGGATACAAATGAATCCCAGTTTGAGATCATTTAAAGATTATTCTGCTGACACAGCACAGTTCTGGTTTTAAGTGTGTTATTCTAGCTCAGCTGACACAGTGTATTTTAAAAAGGTCAACATATCGTGCAGACGATACCATGAGTTGTGTCATGCAATAAAAAAAAAATGCGAGCCGAAAACTTAATTAGAGATAAAAGTTCCACTTGACTTTTCTGGGGTTTTTTTCAATTTGATTTGTAGAAACTGATGAAGGTTGGTAAAACATCAGAGTTCAGTACAGGGAATTCTGGATGGTGAGTGATGCAGACTGCAGGAACATGTGATCCGCTGGTACCCTCTGATCCAGAAAAGTCCCCCTTGTAGCTCTCTGGGTTTGTGGACATGTGCACAGTTTACACACCTGCACCACCATCCCAAGAGGGATCTCTCCCTGTCCTTCAGTTAACACAGAAGTTCACCCCTCTCTCTCTGTCAGGGGTTCGATCCCCAGAAGCCACATGTCAGTGTGTCCTTTGACAAGACCCTCGAGCCCAAGTTTCTTGCTTCTTTATCAGCTGTGTACGAATGTAGAACAATGGATTAGTCATACTGATGAACACTTTATTAAGCAACCTCTGCCATCAGTGTGTGAACAGGAAGGTGTGACCTGCGGTGTTAAAAAAAAGCGCTTTGAGTAAGACTAGAAAAGCCCTATACAAGTTCAAGTCCATTGTCTTTGGGACCTGTTGAGTCTCTGTCTGCAGAAGTCAAAGTGTCCTCTTGTATCATGAAAAGTACGTCATAGTCTCTGTAAAAAAAATCTCTCATCTTTTAGCGCAGACTGTTTTTATATTATTTAATGTATCGTCTATGCAGCAGTATCCGAGACAAGTTTCTCCCTAGGGAGACGAATAAAGAAACCTTAACCTTGATTTGTTTTCTAATTAGAAGCCTGCAGGCCTGAACAGCTGATCAGTGTTGTGGTGGCAGAGGAACACGTGTGTGTCACAAACAAAGTGGCCGGCTGACTGTCAAATTAAAGAGCTGAAACTGTTCAATGATTTCATTTCTTAAAATTGTGACTCCTCCTCCGGTTTAGTCACAGTCTCCTATTCACAGTGATGACGTGGAAAGTAGCCTGTCAGTGGTGGTCTTGACCGGTATTGATTTAAAGTCCAGAGACCGAGACGAGATCGAGTAAAAATGTCTCGGGACCGGTCTTGGATTTTGAGTATTACAACACTACCTAAAGAGACAGAACAGCTTGATGGTCAACGTGTTGACGCTGAACGCCATAGTGCTCTTACATCATTGCTGCTGTTCAGGGTGAAGCTCAACTACTCAGTACAAATGGCCCACAGCAGTGACGAAAGGCACTCTGACCCATTTCTCAATGAAGGGGGCGAGGCTGACCAGCATCTCCTGTGGCTGATGCACGTATTATTGACAAGAACCTCATACAACCCCCCCTCAAAAACCAGAAATGACTCAAAAACAACTGCTTAAAGGTTCCAATCAAATGAAATGTGGAGTTTCTCTCTGTGTAGTGGGGTGAATAGAATATATACATCAAATTCATCTGACCTGAAAATAATCTAATCTGTCATGTCACTTATCTTTTAGTTATAAGGGGGAGGGGATCGTCAACGGCAGCCCAGAGAATGTTTGGGAGTGCTTGAAGCCGATACCCAACGGGCTCAGAGTCAGTTGGGACAAAAATGTGAAAATGTTTCAACTGTTGGAACAAATCACAGAGGTTTGTTTGTTTACTTAAGATCTTTGTCTAAATCATGTTGTATTCATTAACCCTGTCGTCTCATTCAGTCGTCTTTCAGATCGTTATTGTAACATATTTTAAATCCTAAAAAAAGTCACACAATATTTTGGTAACTTTAAAGGCTTTATATGTGATTTTTTTCATCCAGAAGATGTCGCCCTTGAGCACCAGCATGAAACCAAAACAACTTGCGCTGCATTGTTGTGTTAGCATGCTAATGCTAGCGATCTTTATTATGCTCGTATCTTCACACTGCATGTAAATTTACCTGAAATGAGCGTGATCTAGAAACACAGTTAAGCAGTGAGTACAGTATGTTATTCTTCTTTTCTCTAGTCCCTCAATTAAACAACTTTTATACACGAGGGGAGGAGTCAGCCGGCCGTCCGGGCGATGTAAACAAACTGAAGATAGGACTCTGAAAACATCACAGACAGTGGGACTCGGGTGTTACACCCATTGTAGACAGTCATGACTCACAGAGTTATTTTCAGAGGATATACTTGATTTATATTATATTTAAGTGTGAAAAATCACATGTAAAGCCTTTAAACTGTAAATCCAGAAATCTAGTCTGATCATGTCGAAAACCAAAAAAGGTTTTGACAAAAGAACTATCTGAAAATAACGACTGCTGGATTTGATTGATAAAGTCAAAATGTAGTAACTACTTGTCCAGTGCAGCTTCAGATGTGTCCCAGCTTTCTCTTTGTTTGTCTTTGACTACATGCTCTCTCTCTCCCGCTCTCCCACAGGACATCTCTATCTTCAGAACAGTCACGCCCTCAGCAGCTATGGGGATCATAGCTCCACGAGACTTTGTGGATGTTATTTTAATTAAACAATATGAAGACGGCACCATTTCATCAAATGGTGCTTAACAACTCCTTTGTTTCTACTTCCTGTAGTTGTACACCTGATATGCGTGTGTGTGCATACCAAAAGTATTGAAAGTGCAGTAATATGTTTGTATATTTATTTATATTTAGATTATTTTTATTATATAGTATATTTATAAAATAATATTTGACATTATATTAATTTCCAAGTTCGGCTAATAGACTTTTTTTTGTTTGATCCCCCCTCCCCCCAGTATTAATCAAATTATTTCCTTTATTTTTTATTATCAGCTTATTATGAGGAGCACTGTGCTGAGTTCTTGCTCCTCTAAGACCCAGATTGTCCATGTGATGGTTCATTTCATAGAAAGGATCCTGATGTGACAGATGTTGTGTGATTGTGTAATCCATCGTTTTGTTAATCCTGTATGTGACGTCAAATTGAAAGATATATATTTTCTTGTGCTCACTCTCATTTGCTCTTCTGTTGTTTATTTGAATGCATTCTTCTTAAACTGGAGTGTAAATGTGTTTGTTTTTAAGGGCAAACACCTGCATTTGTTTTAGAGAGTTTGTTGAGAAGATTGATAGATTTTGCTGAGTCATGATAAAATGATTTTATTTAAGCTGATGTCTTTCAGAGTGTGGATAGAACACCTTTAGTAAGATCCCTCAGCAGTGATCTGTTCTGAAAGAGACACAGCCCCTCACACGTCCAGTATAACACAGATAAATGTGCACCTTTTGTGTCTTTGTGTCAAACAGCCAGCAACGTGATTCACGCGGGCTGTCCTCCCCAGTCCGGCTATGTGAGAGGATTTAACCACCCGTGTGGATGCATCTGTGTCCCCGTCTCAGGGTGAGCACCCGTACACACCCCACAAACAAGTTTAAGTCCATGTTCACCCACCTAATTTGCTTCTCTCTTTTTTGTATTCTTCTACTTCTTCTGTTCTTCCACTCAGAGAGCCCAAGAAGACCCAGGTTTTTAGTTTCTTCCAGACTGACCTGAGTGGCCTGCTCCCTCGCTCTGTGGTCGACTCCTTCTTCCCCTCCAGCATGACCGAGTTCTACAGCAACCTGTCCAAGGCTGTCAAATCCCTCAAGGACCTTTGACACCGAGAGGTTAAGAAGTATACCTTTAAACCTGAGGCCTAATGACTTGTCAGGCCAAATGAAAAACAGTCTATTTTAAAACAGTCCAAACCCAACAGCAATCAGTACACCGACATGATCCAACACTTATTTCATTTAATTCGACGCCATGATTAGTTTATATTTCCCTGGTACTGAAGGAGGAACTCGCTAAATCTTCCTTCCTTCCAATTTGAGGGCACTAAAAAAAGTCACAAGCTCTAAGATCAAGTCTTTGACAAACCAGCATCTTTTGTGTCCCTACCTGTGGGATGAATATATGTCCTCCAATCTAAAGAGAAACACATGATGTAAATCTGTATTTGTAAATGTTTTTAAATATGGACGGGATGAAGGCATTTATTCTCCTCATTGCATCCTTCAGAGTGTATAGAAAACATGCATGTTGCATGGACCTGGTTTACCCTACAATGCTATCAGATATATGGTTAAGAAATCTCATGTCATACCTCATATTTAGTGTTGTTCTTGAAATGCCACTGATTCGCTCTGCTTTGCTCACCTGTAAAAAGAAATGTCACGCCTCCACTCGAGCACTCTCCCTGATGCACTCCCGGGGCATCACAGTATATTTCCCTTTTACTCGTGGTAGAGGTTTCCAAAGTACATTTCCCCTTCCTGTTCTTCACTTTCAGTCCCTGAAACTCTTCAGGGGCCTTCTGTCAGAAATGTGACACTTTGACTTCTCCTTTGAGTGAAACATCATTTTCCTACATGTTGACTGTACTCAGTGTGCTAGAACCAAACATTATGGAAACAGGGCTCCTCACAGTTGACCAATATTTAAAACACTTTTTAAGTATGAAAGATCCAAAAATCATGTTGGGCTTTTAAAAGTACATTTTTCTAATACTCACCAATCACAGCAGAGTGCATCAGGGCTCTTATTGCATGTTTCCAAAGTTAGCGATTTGGCGGGGATAGGGATATTGGTTGGTGTTTTGATAAATTTTCATAACAGCATATGCACTCTGTATTTTTGGGATAAATCAGAATTTATTAGAAATTAGAAAAGAACAGCAAAAAAAACCCCAAAAAAAACAAAAGAACTGTAAGTGTACAAACTGTATCACCAAAGGAAACGTCTCAGAGATTTCATGTAAACTTAACTTACTGCTTGCACTTCACACTTTCCTACAAAGCCCTTTACAGGGCGGCTGTGGCTCAGTGGGTGGTAGAGTCATCTCTCAACCACAAGGCCGAAGGTTCAAACCCCAGCTCCTGCAGCACTCCTTCAGCTCTTTAACCCTGAATTACTACTGCTTCATCAGTGGTGAATGGATGAGTTAATACTGATGGACTCTTTACCCAGCAGCCTCTACCATCAGTGTGTGAATGTGTATGAGAGACCTGGGGTGTAAAAGCACTTTGAGTAGTCAGAAGACTAGAAAAGTGCTAGGCCATAAGTTTTCTTTCACCTTCTTCTTCAGGAAATACTATGAATCTAAACTTCTCTCCCAGCTGAAGAGCCGTTACAAACTCTGAAAACTCAACGAGCAGTCCTATTGCAGGGCTGTGGCGCTGAGACGCCGAGCTGCACAGGAGGCGTGGCTTGCACAACTGCACCAGAGATGAGCATCTGTTACAGGATGACTTCATGATTTAACAGTGTCTTGTATAACATAAATAAATACAGTGTTGTACAAATGAAAAAAGGGCAAGTCTATACAATTGGTAAATGGACTTGAGCTTGTATATTTCTTTTCTATTCTTCTGACTACTCAAAGTGCTTTTTGTCCGCAGGTCACACCTACACATTCATCACACACTGATTTTAGAGGCTGCTCTGTACCATCAGAAGTAACTAATCCCACTCATACACACTCATACACCGCTGATGAAGCAGCAGGAGCAACAAGTGTCTTGCCCAAGGACACATCGGACATGTTGCTTCAGCAGCTGGGGATCAAACCCTCAACGTTACTGTTGAGAGATGACCGACTTAACCCACTGAGCCACAGGCGCCCCAACAAGAAAACTTGTTCTTCTACTCTCTCATTGTGTGTTTATGTCATTAAAGTGAGCCAGGTGCTGCACACACATTTTGTCTCACTAGAAGGAGGACTAATGAGAAGTGTGACAAGTTCACAGATTTATATTCAGCATCACATTCTGAGAAAACCAAGGGGACTTGTTGTTCCCCCTTTATATTGTGAGTACCCTCTCCTCTTTACCTAGCGACTATCATGTTGAAGTGAAATTAGTAGTGGTACGTTTTTCTGCTGGTTTCAAACACTCTGTGGTTTATTAGACCTACAACAATAAACTTACGAGACTATAAGCACAACTCCTCTTTTCTTTAGAGTTGCTCTTAAGGCCAGTTGTTGCTGCCTCAATGTTTGATTATAAGTTATATCCAACTGATTTGAAACAGCCTTTGTATAAGTGAGTGTTATGTGAGACGTGTTAATGGAAGGAGGACAAACATGCTCATTGTTTCAGCCCTGTTAGAACTTCAGTTTAATGCAGATTACCAACAAAAATAAATGGATCCTGTGGCACTGACTCAAATGTCAAGATTTGTAGTTTCCCTGACAACCTCCAGGTTTGTTTTTATACACTGAAAGACTGTGATCCATGTGATAGGAGATGTAGTAGATGTCAGTTTCAACAGGGGCTGTGACCCTTGTCTTCTACACGTTTGTGCATGGTGGATCTGTATGGAGGAACACTTTGGGAAATGTACTTTTGGAACATGAAGCTGATCATTTTAAGACTTATTGTTTTATCTTTGATCACAGTTTCTTTGAGGTCTTTAACACTAAAATCAGCTTGCAGCACAGGAGAAATCTTAAACTACCTCTGTTTCACAATATAAACAAAATAAATGCTCTTTACACTTCACACAAATACAACTAACTGGACATATACAAATGTAAGTTATTCCACAGCTGCCTGAAGGTATAAAGACAATTAGAATAATCTCCATCATGTACTGTATTTGTTCTCATGCTCACATACTGTGCATGCTTAGGTCTATTGTTTTATTTTATTTCAATGAAGTCGATGTCAACCATTCCATTAGATAGTGTTTATATTCACTCATTTCATTCATTTAACATAATCTTAAACATCATCAACTTTTTTTTCTTATGACAAAGAAAAACCCTAAAAAGATGTGTATGTGACTCTGGGAAGGCTCCATGTGTCATCTCTTGGTGTCTTTCATCTGTGTGATAAGCCATACAGGGTGAGACTATTTAACATGTCCCTTTTTTTTTTTAGGAGTAACAAGATTTCTTTCAAAATGTTTTGCAGCCTTAACTGTAACACCTTCTCGTCACTGTGTAACCTGTAATGTCAATAAAAGACCTTTTAATGTTTTGATCCAAAGTTGTGTTTAAGATGGCAGAGGCCACAGCTAGAGGGACCAGCTTGAGTTTTTAAATTCAAACGTTGTGTCTCCTGGAAAAGAAGCACCCTAGTATTAGTGTGTGTAGTGTGTAATTACATTTTCTGTATAAAGACATCGAATAAAAGGCCTGTGTCGTCCCCACAACCACCACCATCCTCTTTCATGCACGACCTGCTCCAACCTCCACCTCAGCGGAGAGGAAGTGTGGACAACAGGAACGAGAGGAATACTAAAGAGAAATCCTTCCTGCATCTTATCACGTACGCTCTTTTGTAAAGCGTCTCCAGATTACACTTGTTATGAATTGATGCTTTACAAATAATGATTGATTGAAGTAGATCAATTCTTCTGAACATGACATTAGCCATGCTGCTTCTCTAAGACACCTCCCAATGTGCTCTGACTGCTCGGACTAATTTCTACTCACACTGTATTATGAACTAGTTCACTAGTTAACATGTTAGTTTGGATTCAAATAAGGTCGGAAGTCATATTATAGTTTTCACATCTAACTTTTACTGTGAGTACACTTCCTGCTGGCACATCACTGGTAGTAAGACTGCAACCTAATGATGCGGCTCATCTGTAAGGGTGTGACCATCGTGGTTCTAATTAAACAATCACCTGAAATGAAAATTAATTCACAATTGTAACAATAAACAATGAAGTAAAGGTAAGTTTTATTTGATGTCAAAGCATGTAGACATACGATGTATGAAGTTCCTACTTGTCATCATCATGTTTTTTTTTAAAGGAGATCCACACAGAAGTCTTTTCCCGCTGGAAACACACAGCAGCTGTTTACCAACACCTGACACTAATGCTTTCTTCTCCTGTTATATAATGGCAGATTGACGCCTTTTCAACAAGGCACTGGTAGCATTGGAAAAAACGGGAAATAACTCTTACTTTATAAAAACACATTTTTTTCTCATGTTTGACCAACTTTGTGCCTGTAATTATCATATAACATTACACTGAGAACAAGTGAAGGGTGAACAAGCAGGGAAAAGGAAAAATAAATCCATTGTCCATGCCCTTACAGCCTGACCTGCCGATGACAGACTGTGTCAAGTTACTTTACGATCTGAAGCTACATCACATCAGGTGACGTTAACAAAAGCCGAGAAGCTTTGTTTTGGTGTTCAGGAGCCTAACGTCTGAGTTGATACATTCACATCATGATTGTACACTTTGAATGTTTGGCCAAATAAAGACAAAATCAAAGGGGAATAATGCTCTTTAAACCTAGGTAACATCTTGCACATATTTATGGCATAATAATGATTGACAGGTGCATACCTTTTTTAAATGCTCACAGGTTAACTCAGCAGTATATCATGTAAATAAGTGATTGTTACAGCAGTTAAATAGCTCCCTTTAAAGCCACCAGACAACATGACAAATGCACTTCTGTTACCTCACAAAATACTAGAGTCGCTGCCCTATTGGTTCCTGTGTTTGTTTTCAAGTTGCATTAACATTTCAATGAAGTCCAGTGACTTTGAAGAGAGTGATGTAACATCTGGTTGTGGTTAAAAAACATTTTTTTTCCTCCTGAATAAAAAGGTCCATCTCTGTAATGCTGTCAGACTCTAAAAATAACCATCAGAGCAACAACAACTTCAATAGAACTACTCTGATTGGCTCCGTTGCTCACAGGAATTACATTTTACAGCTTTTACTGATGAATACTGAAGATGTTATTTTAATAACTATTTTTTTAATTTTAATGAAGCACTTGAATTGGATGCAATTTCATGTTCATTTTCTCATTGAATTGTCCCTTAAATAAACTTTCATCCATTTCTACTGAGTGGCTGATAGCTGATTTTTTATAAAAGCATATATTCAGAGTGTCAATAGTGCATTTGTTTTATATTTTGTTTTTCTTTCTTTGGTCTCTCCATGGTCATTCTCCTCCCCCCTGCCTCCTCCTGATCACCGTTGTGATGCCTCCTTCAGGTAGAGCCTTGATCATGTTCCAGGCTTCAAATCGAGTCATGTCCTGCAGACTGACCCCCTGAATCTGCAGCAACTCATCTCCATGCTGCAGTCCGCTTTGCTCTGCCGCTCCGCCTGACACAAAACACACACACACACAAATATTATTCATTTTCAATATGCTATCAGGACTGATGAAGACCAAACTATTGCTCAAGATTTTGTTAAAATAATAGTCTGTTTTGAGTGGACATCTGAATAAATTGGAGAAACAGTTTTTGTAAAGTAACTGTGGCAGCTGCTGTTTTGTGGGTTTCACAGTTTAGAAAAAAATAAATACAGATGTTTTTGATTGTTAACATTTTCTACTCACAGATGATAAACAAGACCCTTTTTATTTTATTTCACCAGAATCGCCGCAAAGTGTTCAGCCAAACAGATCAACGTGATCTGTCACATCACAACAAGGCAACATGTCCTTTTCATTCCTAATCAAGTGTTTTTTCTATTTTCTTTGTTTATCTCTGGAGCAGAGCCAGAACAAGACTCATAAAAACATAAAAATGTATAAATACCAATGAATAAGCTGATAGCTGAATAGTTACAGATAGTTAGAGCATTACATTTGAACTAGAGCTGTCAAAAGATCACAATGTTTAATCGCTAAATGTCAATAGTTACGGTAATCACAACTGACCGCTTTTTCATTTGCATGTTTTAAATTCAAGTATTTAAAAATAACAATTGTTAGACCATTATTTTGACCATTATTTTGTCTTAAACTGACTCTATGGTGGAATTTAACCCTGCTTTTATTTTGAAATAAAGTGTTGCTCTACTGGTTGATCGCAGGTTACGACATTAACTTAACTACTGAAAAAGAAACTTGAATTGGATTAAAATGTAAATGAAAACATCTAATGAGAACAGTCAAAATGTGAAATGTTTGATGACATGAGGTGGATGTTACTTTTGTCTCCTCAGCTGAGCTGTCTGAGAGACATTCAAAGTGTCATTCTTTGACATCACTGTGACTACACGGAGACACTGCGGAGGCTTGTGCACGGGATGATGCGATTAAAAAAGGATTATTGTATTGATTTTAGTTAATAAGTAGTTTGTGGTGCCCGCCCTACTTGAATATAAATGATCTGTAAATACTACTTTGACGTTATCATTTATATAAGGAGGGTAACTCGGTTCAGAGATGCCAGCGGCTCCACACTTCATCCACATGTGTAGAGATGGATCATCTCCATAAACTGATCAATGCCGACAGCACTGAATGGAACTGAAATAGAATAACGACGTTGTGGAGCGTACTTTTAAAGATCCTGTTGATGATAAGAGGTCTGTCTCCATGGATTGAGCCTTTTCCTCCCTCCAGTGTAAATCCAACACCTCCAGCACCTTTTTCCAGCTCCACCCTCAGCAGATCACCCTGCTCCTCCTCTGTAACTTTGAAAGAAATCACACAACCGTGTTAATGGATGCTTCACACATTTATTAACTTTGTTAACTTTGTTAACTTGTCATTCTCTTCAAATACTGTTTCAATTCTCAATTCCCCCCAGTTAACTTCATCATTCATTTTGTACTGTATATACCCCCTGTTTTTATTTTTATTTTTATTTATTTTTATTTATCTATTCTGTTTAATGTGTATTTGAGCTTTCTTGTCTGTGCTGCTGTAACGTCCGAATTTCCCCTCTGGGGATCAATAAAGTATTATCCTATCCTATCCTATTATGGTGTTTAAAAGTCAAAGTAAGGATATAAATGGGTGAAATGATCATCATGGATACTCTCTTCTGAATGGCTGAAGAGTGTACGTTCTAAAGGAGAACCCATGAAGCTGTTTTGCTGAAGCTGTTCTTCGTTAATGTGTTGGCTACATATCAGCCTGTATCTTATTGAGTAACCATAGCAACAGGGACTGGGTCAAAGCTTCTGAAACTGGTTTACAAGCCAACATGTAATAACACCATTGAGGAATTTCCAAACTGCAAAAAGTACACTCTGAACTTACTGATATCATCGATCACACAAGTGATCATCTAACTCCACAGAGACGATGTTTTTAACACTATCAATTAAATATTTAAAATATATTGTCTGCTAGCATGAGGCTAGCTGTCTTGATCGTTGCTGAGCCGAGGTGTTGGAGGAGCTGAGCAGAATAGAAATATATTTTCTGTTGCATGACTCACCTGCAGGGTTGGTCTCCTCACTCCTGCAGCCTCCGCCCTCGCTCCCTGTCTCCTCTGCTCTTTTGCTAACAACCACAACCGCCAGCTTCAGAGTGCGGGCCTGACGCAGAGCAGCAGTGGCATCAGCGTGAGTGACACCGTGAAGGGTTTGTCCATTTATAGACAACACCTCATCTCCTTTCTGAATGGTGCCTTCCTGAGCTGCCAGGCCGCTGGGAAACACTTTGTGGACCTGCATGTAAAAAGAACAAGTTTTCTTTGAAGACACTAACAGAGTTTAATAGAATTTGTTCAGTCTCAGTTTATTCTCTTGTATATTTATTTAAAGATTACATATTACACTCCTTGTCAACAAGTTAAGTCTCAGAGCTCCCCAAAACATGTCTGTTGAGTTTTTTGCAGACACTCCACTCTGATCCCTTTATTTTAGCATGTCTATAAATCCCTCTGTTTCAGCCCTGCTCAGAACAGGCTGTTTCTGTGTCTGTACCTTTAAATATGTAAATGAGCTGTGTCTGACCCCCCCCGGAAGGGCTTTAGTAACTTGAGCTTTCTCACTCCATGCCCCCTTGTTTTCGATGATAAGGCAGAGTCAGAGGGTTAGGGTTAGGGTTAGTTGTGGGAGTGTCACCCACCTGGGGGAGGGGCTACTGCCCTTTGTGATGTCATGAAGGGAAAATCTCCAAACGGCCTGTTTGAGCACACGTTTTCAGAAAAGTGGAGCAAGCAGAAGACGGAGAGGATGGACTTATCTCATCATCAGGGGGTTTGTCGACAGACTAGGGGCGCATATTAGTGTTAGAAACCCATGGTTAAGTGTATTTGCACACTATAGGACCTTTAAAAGAAAGAGAACTAATATTTCAGTCGATCAAATAAAAATGACCTGTTAAACAGGCTAAGGTGAACCTGTGGATGGCCATGTCTGGTCTTCTGTTTGTGTGTTTTTTCAACAGTGAAGTACTGTGGCCTAGTTTTTAAAGATTGCTCATGACTCAGTCTTCAAATGAACCTGACTCTTCATCTTGAGTTTGAACACGAAACGCTTTAAATACATACACATTTTTTTTTTTTTTAAGTAACAGAAAATACTTTTATTTATTCTTATTAATTTTCTTATTAAAAGTGTTTATTTCCTATTGTGTTTTACGTTATTTACCTACTCAGACTTTATCTACTATCTACTCCAGAAATTGGTCTGGTAGCTGGAGAGGTGCCAGTCCACTTCCTGAGCACTGCAGAGGTGCCCTTTAGCAAGGCACTGAACCCCAAAACTGCTCTGGAGCGCCCACTGTGGGCAGCCCCATCACTCTGACACCTCTCCATTAATGCATGTTCATAGGATCCTGTTTGTGCATGTGTGTGTATTTCAGCCTATGTGTGTGTTCATGTTCATTAAACAGAGTGTAAAACTGAATTTCCCCTCACAGGATTAATAAAGAATAAATTATTATTATTATTATTATTATTATTATTATTTTCTTATGCTTTACTGATCCTTACTGTGGGAGCTTTGCTCTCCAGGTCAGAACCTCCAGCGATGCTGAAGCCCAGCCCAGCCCCCTCCTCTTTGTGCACAATCACAACATGGATGTCCACCAGCTGCTGTGGAAAGAATGTCAGAGTAACTGCTTAAGTTTATGTTTACATAAGAGAGATTAACAAATAAGTGACTTTGAGCAATCAAGCTATCAATTTTTATTTGTATAGCGTCAACTCATAAGTTGTTATCGCGAGACACTTGACAAAAAGAAGGTAAAAGACCTTACTCATTGTTATGTTACAAAAAGCAGGTAAAAAACCTTACTCATTATGTTACAAAAAGCAGGTAAAAGACCTTACTCGTTATGTTACAAAAAGCAGGTAAAAAACCTTACTCATTATGTTTCAAAAAGCGGGTAAAAAACCTTACTCGTTATGTTACAAAAAGAAGGTAAAAGACCTTACTCGTTATGTTACAAAAAGCAGGTAAAAGACCTTACTCGTTATGTTACAAAAAGCGGGTAAAAGACCTTACTTATTGTTATGTTACAAAAAGCGGGTAAAAGACCTTACTCATTGTTATGTTACAAAAAACAGGTAAAAGACCTTACACGTTGTTATATTACAAAGATCCGGCCTATCCATCATGAGCACTTTAGCAAAGCCGCAAAAGTTACAGTGGTAAGAAAAAACTTCATAGCCAAGATAATAGCGTAGCATTTCACCATCTGATGAGGAGATCTATTAGGAAGAATTTGCATGGTCATCTTAGAGATATACAGGTACATATGTTTAATCATCACATTATATTTTCTGACTAGTGCCAGTAAAAAGTGAAACAAGTTTGTATGATCACCGATTCTTTTTATAAACTAAAATAAAACATGTTCAGATCACAATCATCAATAGTCTGTCGATAAACTGATGGAAGAATTGGAACCGTAACTTTTTATATCTACTATACCAACATTAGAAATTGCTGTATGCAAAGTAAGGTTAAAATGTGTTTTTGTATACTTTTTTTTTTTTTTAAATGAATTCTTCATGACTTTTACCTTAAGGGTATCTTCATCCAGAGTTTTGGCTTCGCGGACCAGCTCCTGTATTTCTTCTGACGGGATGGCTGAGATGATGGATTGAGCAGAAGTGACTGCTGACTCGTACTGAGATCCCCCCTCCCCTCGCTCGATGGTGACCTCTCTCATGGCAGCCAAGCTGGGTTCAAATAGATGACAACAACTTAGACGATGCAGTATTATATACACGCAGGGTGTAGTTTTAACTGCTTTTCTGAAATGAGGAAGATTTTCTTCAATTTGAACTACGTGTGTGTGTGTGTGTGTGTGTGTGTGTGTGTGTGTGTGTGTGTGTGTGTGTGTGTGTGTGTGTGTGTGTGTGTGTGTGTGTGTGTGTGTGTGGTGTGTGTGTGTGAATCCTCTCACGCTTTCCTAATGTCGAAATGCGAGCTTTTTTTATGTTGCAGAAATGCACTATGCAATTGTTGCGTTTGCTCTTATGGACTATGGAAGCGACTAGTGATCATAATTCAAATGATAAAGCTAAGTCTGGCGTCACTTTCCAGCGCCGTCCACTTTGCCATTTCATTTTCGAGTTGGTTTGAATTATGGGAACCTTTTAGCACGGCAAGTTTGAAAAAGAAAAGCCAAAGACCTTTTTAGTTTTCATTTGAATGATGTCATACAAAATGCATACATAGAGAGTAAAAGTATAATGCAAACTGGATGACTGAATATTCATTTTAAATATAGGTCAAATAATGCACCTTTATTCTAAAAGTTAAAAAGTGTTTCTGTTACTGTATTTTCATTTTAAAATTAGAATTTTCATTTGAATTATGATACAAATTTAACGTGGCATTTTAAAAAAAATGAAAAAGCAAATGTCATTTTCTTTCTCATTTTAATTTAGTCAAAGAATGTGCGTTTTTGAAGATGAAAACTAAAATGCAAATTAGATAAATTAATCATCATTTTATTTTTGAGTCAAATCATAATACACCCATATTCTGATAATTAAAAAGCATTTCTGTTAATGCATTTTAATTTTCAAATTAGCTTTATCATTTGAATTCTGATCACTAGTCGCTTCCATAGCGGACCACCGTACTAAACCCACTTCAAAATGAACATAAAACAAACCCATCAAGTAAACAAACACAGGCTTCACATCCACACACACTCAGTAGTGGAGGAACTTAGTGCCACCGTTACTCCTCTGTAATATAAACTTAAATGGCGGGGTGGAACAGATGGAACCGTCCCATCTTGAACTGGCAGTTTCTTAGATGCTACCACCAAGTGTTGAGTGAAACCTCTCAGCTTAGGTCTCACCTGACAGAGAATCCTCTGTCGATGCTGTCCTGGACGGGCTCAGACTCCTGATTGTTTGTTATATCCAGGCCACATGGTTCCTGCAGTTGTGGGGAGTTGAGGCTGCCATGGCTGGGGAGAGAACGCATCAGCGCCTGTGAAAGCTGAAACAAAGAACATCACAAAAATGATCCAATTAGAATCAGGCTATTCTCTTACATGACAGTATGAGGATCATGTACAAATACAAATATAACTTTGAACACATCCACTGGATTCTTTATGTCAATATTTCCAGAGAACCATTATCACAAAAAAAAAGAAACATTAAGGGGTAATGGAGGTTATGCTGCACGGTGGTCAGAGCTGTCTCCTCACAGCAAGAAGGTTCCTGGTTTCCATTCCCTCACTTGTAGGGCCTTTCTGTGTTGAGTTTGCATATTCTCCACATGTATGCATTGTTTCCCTCTGGGTACTCCAGGTTCCTCCCACAGTCAAAAGACTATCATATTACCCTAAAGGCTTTATATGTGATTTTTCACACTTAAAGGTAATATAAATCAAGTATATCCTCTGAAAATAACTCTGTGAGTCATGACTTTCTACAATGGGTGTAACACCCGAGTCCCACTGTCTGTGATGTTTTCAGAGTTTTCAGAGTCCTATTTTCACTTTGTTTACATCGCCAGGACGGCCGGCTGACTCCTCCACAAGAGTATAAAAGTTGTTTAATTGAGGGACTAGAGAAAAGAAGAATAACATACTGTACTCACTGCTTAACTGTGTTTCTAGATCACGCTCATTTCAGGTAAATGTACATGCAGTGTGAAGATACGAGCATAATAAAGGGCACTAGCATTAGCATGCTAACAGAACAATGCAGCGCGAGTTCTTTTGGTTTCATGCTGGTGCTCAAGGGCGACATCTGCTGGATCAAAAAATCACATATTAAGCCTTTAAGGTTAGTTAGAGACTCTAAAATGACCTGTAGGTGTGTGTGTGAGCATTTGTTACTGGAGCACTGGAGGACAGGGGGTCATTTGGACCATTGTCCCAGTAGTTTAGTTTGAAATAATCTTCCTCATGTCAGAAAGGCAGTTAATACTATTCACTTAAGTCATGGCTGTTTGCCACTGAAAAGTTGCTGCCGTGGCAACCTGAAAAAGCCTTAGTACTGGGTTGATAAAGAGACTCTGAGGAGTAAGTTGTCACAGTCAATTGCTCCGTTGGCGAGCTCCTTTAACCCTAAATGACCTCATGACCACATTCACTTCTTTTGTTGTCTTTGGTCCATAAAGGTGATATAAAGATAACAAAGATCCAGTTGTGATGACCTTGAAAAACTGATTGAACTGCAGAGGAAGTGCAACTATGCAAGTAGGCGATCAGCTGTTTTTCTCTACACCCTTTGGACACAAACATAGACACCCTTTGTTACAGCAGTGCTGCAATGTTCCCCAATCTCAATAAATACTTTGAAAAGCATTATTTAAAAAAGTGAAGATGATTGCGAAAGCCATTAACGTACGTTATAAATAGCACATCACATTTATATTTTACATTTTTAAATTCTATTCTATATATTGTAATATCTTCTTATACTGTATTATTTAAGTTGTTGCTAGTTCTGCTTTATTTCCTTGTTAATTGTTTAGCACCAATACACCAAGTCAAATTCCTTGTTTGTGTAAATGTACTTGGCAATAAACCCCGATTCTGATTTTTAAATTACCTGGTCACTGAAAGCGAGGATTTTCCCCAGACTCTCTCCCTCCACACTCCTCTGTTGAGGACAGTCGGTGGGCTGATATGAAGTCAGAGTTTTATTCAGAAGCTTTCCTTGACTCTGTGCTCTGTCTCCCTCCGTCTCTTCTGGAGGTTTATCTCCCTCAGAATCACTGAGTATCACGGATGTTGCAGGTAGCACAGGCTCAGATTCAGCCTGGCTATGATCCACTGTTTGTGGCTGTGAAGCAGCTCTGCCCTCGTGCCCTGGAGCTGGAGAAGAAGAATCATGAATGACCACATCAATGCTGGTCATATCAGAGAGTTGGCGATCTGTGGATGCCTGGGTGGAGACAGGTTCAGAGTGTTTGGATGTTGTTTGACTTGAAGCTGCTGAAGTGGAGGAGGTGACAGAAGAGGGTGTAATAGAGACGCTGGTGTTGTCTGTATTTCCAACAGATACAGACTGGTCAGCCTGACTCTCTCTGAATATCTGATTTTTGCCTTTTCTTGAAACTTCATATGTGGCAGAGTGATTCCTGGACTCTTTCTCCATCAGAGGCAGGGAGGTAGAAGGCACCACATTCCTCCTGCTGCCCTCCTTCTCCGGACCCTCTGAACTGGAAAAAGTCTCAAAGGAGTGGATCTTTTGTCTGATCGACTGGCCGGCTGCGGATGAGGCGGACCTAAGTCCAAAGCTTCTACTGAAGCCCACCTCAGGACCCTGATCTGCGGGTTTAGCCGGCTTCTTCTGGTCCTGCTCATCCTGAATTTTGCGAACACTTTGGCGAAACCAGGTGGGCTTTGGGGCCACGGGGGGGGCTTTCTTTTCCACAGGGGGGGTATCAGAGGTGTCTCTGACCGTTCCATTGCGCTCCATCGTATTTTCTTTGTCACTCATGGTGAAAGGTTTGCTGCAGCTTTTGAGAGCCCAGGTCCCGTCTGCAGCGTAGTGGGGGTGATGGTGGTGGATCTCAGGGAGTTCTTCAGGGGAACGGTCTGAGAGGCGGACCCAGGGATCCTGTAGTTTCTCTTGGGTATGTTGGTCAATGCGAGCCTGTCTCCTCAGAGCTCTTTTCTTCAGCTGTGAGCAGGTGGCTAATGAATGACCTGTCAACACCACACAGAGGAAAGTAGAAAAGTGTCATCCACTGATCAAAAATCAGATTAACAAACTCTGTTTAAATGTGTGTATAGCTATGCAGCAGTCTCCCTAAGGCTCATTCATGCTCTATGTCCGATAGACAATTACATTCAGACGGAGCACTCTGTCTCGTCCTCTGCAATCATTTTATCATTTTTCACATAGTGACATATTCCTGCAGTATTTTCAGGATACTTGCAGACACAGACCAAACATGGCAATACCAGCAGAATGTGGACTTGAACTGAATGTTAGCTGGATGTCAACAAAGCAAAGGAGAAGTGAAAGACTGAGAGAGAGCAGTTTGTTTAGAGTCAACAACAAGTCACTGTGCAGTCAGAGTAGAGATACTGCTGATTAGACCCCCCCCCCGATTATTAAGTGCCTGGGCAGGCTAAAGACAACACTCTTAAAGGCACCCTCTTGTGGATGCATGGTTTAATGTCCTTCCGTACAGGACGCTTGGGAGTACAGTACATGGAGACATTTAACAGTACATATCAGAGTGAATGTTGGAGCTGCATGGACATGGATATCATGACAGAAAAAGAGTGATTTCCATTCAAGAAAACAAATAAAGTTTCCTTCAGCTAATGACAAATGTAAATCAAATGTTTTGTCAAATTCTTTTTACCCTGAAAGTTCAACTTTGATCTTTAGGGCAAAACAGTCGCTGAAATGCAGAAAAATAGCACAGCAGTCAACTTGATCACTTCATATTATTAAAATAAACATCAAATCCAAATGAGTTCACAATCTATATTTTAAAGGGCCCATATTCTGCTTTTTCTGGTTTTATATGCTCTTTAGTGTGTTTTCCAAGTGTCCTGTGCATGTTTAGGCACATCTATGTGCAAAAATTCAAAGTCCGCGGAAACGCGGCTTCTCCTACCTCCTCCTGTTAGCTGTAGCATTAGCTGCATGTAACGTTCTAGCCCCCCTCGATAATAATGTGTCAGTGCAGCGTCATTGTCAGTGTGAGATCACTGATCTAAGTCCATTGGCTCGTTGTCGCAGCTCATGTTGAAATTTTCGAGACGCGTGCTGAGCAACTGACCAATAACGACTGAGCGGATTGGCAGACCAATCAGAGCAGACTTGGCCCATGTGGGGTCTAACAGTCTGGGCTCAACAGAGTGTAGCTGACGGACTCAGAGTGTAGAGGGAGCAAGGAGGAGCAGTACATGAAAACAGACACTTTTTCAAACTTTAGCTATTGTGAACGTACAAAGTAGGAACATAGATTAAATATACGAAACCCCAAAAAGGGCAGAATATGGGCTCTTTAAAAACGTTTGCTAATAATTGAACTGGGACAGGCGTTACCATGACAGACTCCCCTGTATTCATCTGGTTTTCTTCTGTCATAAATCAAAGTGTTGGACTTGATGATCAAAATTATTCCAATTCATCTTGGTATCATGTTGTTTAGTGAATTTCTTGATTTTAAATCACTGCCAGCTCCACGATTTGTGAGCCAGGAAGGACTGAACTGACTGATAGTAAGGTATGTATTGGAAGTCTGTTGCCTTGATAGAACCAATAAGCAGAATACCTACATATTGAAAATGGCTACAATGTTATATGAAATTTGCAAATTGTTTCCTGTCACACTGCCACAGCAACAATAAATGATGTATACATTTATCTGAGCATTTAAGCAAAAGTAAGTAACTCTAAAGTTACATTCCTGCATACCGAGTAACTCAGTAAGTTCTTTAGATCCTTTCTGATAGTATTAACGAGTAAATGTAACTATAGGGACCAATTTTCAGTAAGATGCCAAACACAGCATATCACCAATAAAGTCAATCAACTGTCGGGGATCATGACTGTAGAATGACATTGTTGAATCTATTTTGCCCACAGTAGTGGAGACATTTTACCTAAATTAAGAAACTCATGGTGGCTGGAGGAGTTGCGGAAGTCATCAAAAAGTCACATCAAAAGTGAAAATAAGAGTCAAAGAGTAAACATAGACAGGCAGAAACTGCACATGTGCATCTATCTTATCATTCTAAGGACTATTTGTGAAGTGATGCCCTCAGAAATGTTTGAACTACATCCTGATCAAATTGTATTTCCTTGCACATTAAACCTGACTAGAAACAGGAAATTAAGCATCAGTTCTTTATGAGCAAAGCACCGCCTCAACTCACTGTAACAAATCAACTGCACCATTAATCATCTAATTCTTAAGTTGCATTAAGGTGCTTGTATGAAAGTAAGCACTTGTTTCCTACCTGTGTGTACTCTGTTGTCGGTGCAGGCAGAAGGGTCTGGATGAGTGAAATCTTCTTTGCTCCCCTGCGGTGGTTCCCTTCTTCGTTCTTCTTCCTGCTACACAAACAGGAAGTGCTGTCACAACACAGCTTCTCTGTCAGTAACCACACAGAGGTGCAATGATGAACCATGCTTCCGCTCACTCATGCACATCACTGTTACTGCTTTCACACTGCGAGAATACCTCAGTCACAGAACCAAACCCTGGCCAGGGACAGTTAGGGCCGGGGTTTAATCTGGATTTATGGGTGGGGGGGCTGTACTGCTTTAAAGGAGCTCTATTTCTATTCTGTAGAAAGAATAATAACTGTGAACATTGTGCTCCCAAAACTAAACTGTATCACCATTCTGTTGTTTAAACTGCAGAGACTAGTACTAGTCCAGATACCACCAGGGATTAGAATATTGTTTTTTCATCATTTATTTGTTGTTAATTTGGCTCAAGTAACACTTTTAACGTTTTTAATGTATAAGGAATTAATGAAACAAGAAAGTTCTGAAGGCTAATACTGAAGGTCGGACAGGTTATATTCATTTTATGGTTCAACAGACATAAAGATAGCTACAATAAGTCCCCAAGTATCATTATTGTGTTTTTATTATTTAAGCAACATTATTAATAGAAATCATTCTCATAAACTGTAGTGATTTAATTAGTTTCATTCTTTCCTTATTGCAAATATTGCTTTAGAAACAAAAGTGAAAACTTGCTTTAATATTGTGCTTGATTGTCTGGAAAAAAAAAGCTAGTCCCTTAATTTTTTTTTTTTTTTGCAGAATCTTTACAAGTCAAGTAAGGTGAAAAGTACTGGTGTGTACAAATTGCACATAGGGATTTGGCAACATGGGTATTGATTCTGTTGCTGTGCAGTGGTCACGCCACAGTTCATAAAAGAGAGTGCAAAGAACATCTTTCAAACTAATGAGGGAGTAAGAGACTCAGTGATACTGAAGTAGATAGAGCTGAGCTTTAACATGATATCATGTAAATGTATAGGTATATGTAGGCCAGAGCCTGGTGTACACATGCTAACAGAAACATATACTGCTTGCATGCAGACGTGCACAAATATACACAGAAAAAGTGCAAAACATGCAAAACAAAAAGTGGGATTAAAACATATGATGGGTTCAATTCAGCTAAACTCATTCTGATTGTCAAGGTCATTTATGTACACACATCCAGTGCATGGACAATAGTGTGTGTTCACCTGAACATCAATCTTCAGACAAGAAGAGACCACATTCCCATGTTGGTGGGGGCTCAGGGTCCGAAGCTTTTATGTTGCTATTGTCTTCTGATGTTTAACTCATGTTAACATCACAAATCTGAGCAGCTGTTTTCATTTCTAAGCTTCGTGATTGACCTATCTGACCTACACAGACCGTGGATCACCAGGGACCTGTTTCAGTAAGCAGGTTTTGTGTAAACTCTGAGTCAGTTAACCCTGAAATGAGGGAAACTCTGGGTTATCCGTTTCAGCGGGGGAGGTCACTCAAACCCAAGAAAGAGGGGTAACTCCAGCCCGTTTCAGAGGGAGAAGTTACTTTACCTCTGAGTCAGTTACTATGGTAACTCAGTTACTATGGTGAAGCTAACCTGGTCGGGAGCAGGCTGACTCCGCCCTCTTTCAGAGCCAGAAACGCCGTTTCATTTCCTCATTCTTTCATTCAGTCCGTATCATGCCGTGTTAAGATTCACCATTTGTCAGAATAAAAATCCAGGTTGTTTTAATATGACATGTTAGGGTGGCAATACTACGGCGTATAGGACAAACTATTTTATCAAACATGGTGTCTTTTAGTCGAGCCTCGGTATGAAGGAGCTGCATTACTCCACAGAGAATTAGAGTCTAAATTAAATGTTTATTTAAAGGTGAAAGGACATTTAGCCTATCTGTGTCGATACAGCTTTATGTTGAGGATAAAGTTAATGCACATTCAAATAGACTCTGAATGAAGTTAACTTTAAATCTACATGAGCCTATTATGTTCTTATATTTCATTTTGAGCTGTTTAAAAGTCTCCTTTCTTCTGCTGGATTACATCTTAATGAAAATAAATTGTAGGTTTAATAGCCTATATAACCCATTCCACCAGATTTGACCTGCAATAGGCCTATAATAATTCAGATTAAATATTAAATGAATAGACTTCATTACACGCCAACGCGAACAGCTGCTTTCTCTTACATCACTTCTCTCTCCTCTGCAGCAGTGTTCCTTTTTTTCCTTCTTAAAACCTGTTCATATTCTCCGTATGGCCATATGAAGATAGACTTTTTTTCGAGATGGTTAAAATAGGAGGATCTCTTTTTTGTCACCTGTTGCCATGGTGAATCGTAGAATCAGGGTTCCATTCATGTTGGCTTTTTATCATCATGGTGCACCTGCGCTGCACTGAAAGAATTGTAATCCACGCCCACCCATGAGATGGGCCCTGTGGTGTAATCTGTTGGTATTACAATGTGCTCTTATTTTGAAGGACACACACGTTCGTAACAGGTAGTTGTTGAGTTAACGAGCATTCTACAGAGATTGTCATGAAGGTGAAAATGGCAATAAAAGGCACACATAAATGCTCTATGAACCGTCTGTGGGAATCATTTACACGCAACACGACATGGTGTCAGAAGTGTTGCAGCTGTGACGAGTGATTGCAGAGTGAGTTGCGACAAGAGTGTTTTAAGTCTCTTTGCATCCACATGATGGAAGAAGACGACGACGACGTTAGCATGCCACAGCTAGCAGCTAGCGCACCTCCGAGCGCACCTCCGAGCGCACCTCCGAGCGCCACGTTCACAATTCAGCCTCCAGAAACGTTTGATTTTTCAAAACCACAAGACTGGGAAAGGTGGATACGGAGATTTGAAAGATTCAGATTGGCCAGTAACCTACATCTAAGCTCTCAAGCTAACCAGATGAATACATTGATCTACTGCATGGGGGATGAAGCAAACGACATCCTACGGGGACAATCTTTATCCGATGCAGAAAGAGGACACTACAGCACAGTTAAAGAAACTCTCGAGACATACTTTGTGCCCAGGAAAATATGAGAGAGCAAGATTCAATCAAAGAGTACAACAAACTAACGAGAATGTAAACTCTTTTATAACTGCATTGTATACCCTTGCCGAAAACTGCAATTATGGAGCACTTCACGACGAGTTGATAAGAGATCGCCTTGTGGTGGGCCTGGGAGACACTAGTCTAGCAGAGAGAATGCAGTTAGACAAGGATTTGACGCTCAAAAAAGCAGTCAACATGGCCAGGCAGTCGGAAGTGATAAAAAGACAGCAAACAGACCTCAGGGGAGGAGTAAAAAATGAAATCAATGCAGTGACATCAAGGAACAGGAAACAGAAACTGCCCATTTCAAAGACCCCAAATCAGTTTAAGCAAACAGCAACAAAGTTAAGAACACCAGTGGATCGTCAGCCATGTTACAGATGTTGAAAGCCCACTGCTCATGGAAAATGGCAGTGCCCTGCTAAAGATGTGACATGCCATACCTGTGGGAAGAAAGGACATTACAGTAAAGTGTGCAGATCTGCAAAAGCAGTGCATGTGGTTGACACAAACACCAACTGCAATGACACACCCTTGTTCCTAGGTACAGTAGATGCAGGCACAGACCCATGGTATGCTGACATAACAGTCAGAGATCACAAAGTTAGATTTAAGATAGACACAGGAGCTGATGTTTCAGTTATTCCAGCTCAGACATACTACACTATTGCAGAGAGATATACCTATTTGGCTAAATCAGACAGACCACCATTTGGTCCAGGTGGTACACCACTTTCTGTCTTAGGTATGTACAGAGAGTCACTATGCAAAGGTGAACATGTGATCCAGGAAAATGTGTACGTAATTAAAGACTTACACATAGCTTTGTTAAGTAGCGCAGCTAGTGTCAAACTTAACCTTGTAACCAGGGCAGACAGCAATGACAAAACTAAGATAGTAGCATCTTACCCAAAACTGTGTCAGGGCTTAGGAATGCTACAACAGCCATATTCTATAAGCTCCAGCCTGATGCTATCCCTTTTTCCTTGGCAACACCAAGATGTGTCCCAATCCCTTTACTGGGTAAAGTGAAGGAGGAGCTTGAACGTATGGAGACTACGAGTGTCATCTCCAGAATCAAGGAGCCAACAGACTGGTGCTCTGGTATGGTTCCAGTGCCGACAATGAAGGACACAGTACGCATCTGTGTTGACCTGACCCATCTCAACAAAGCAGTGTGCAGAGAGAAATACATCCTGCCTTCAGTAGAGCAGATGCTTGGATCTCTTGCAGGATCTCAGGTCTTCAGCAAACTGGATGCTAACTGGGGATTCTGGCAGATCCCTCTGTCTCCTGAGTCAGCACGTTACACAACCTTCATAACTCCCTTTGGACGCTTCTTCTTCAACAGGCTGCCCTTCGGCATAGCCTCAGCCCCTGAACATTTTCAACGGAGGAGTTGTATGTCACATGGACGACATTCTCATTTGGGGGAAAGACCAACAAGAGCATGACACCAGACTTCACACAGTGTTTGCAGCTTCCTCGGGATGGTAAATCAACTTGGAAAGTTCATTCCAGGTCTGGCTGAGAAGGATAAACCCCTGAGAGACCTTCTCTCAAAGAAGAATCAATGGGTGTGGAGCTGTGCGCAGCAAAAAGCATTCGACCTGCTAAAGGATGATCTAACATCACTTCCAGTGCTGACCCTCTACGACCCCAACAAAGAGCTAAAGTTGTCAGCAGATGCGTCATCATATGGACTTGGTGCAGTCCTCCTACAAAAGGAAAAAGAAATGTGGAGACCTGTAGCATACGCCTCTCGTTCCATGACTGAGACAGAACAGAGGTACGCACAGGTGGAGAAGGAAACGCTAGGTTTGACATGGGGGTGTGAGCGCTTTAGAGACTTCCTCATTGGGAGACATTTCTCTCTAGAGACGGATCACAAGCCACTCGTTAGTCTGTTAGGCCAGCAGGCACTAACTGAGCTCCCTCCCAGGATCCAACGGTTTCGACTCCGGGCAAAGATCTGCTCACTGCAGA